ACATATGCACTGTTTGTACTGCATAACATACGTGTAGTTAAATAAATAACACCGTAAGCTTTGTTTTGTATATAATTTTTATGAATGATCAAAAAGATACAATACATTTTAAATTTTAAGGGCTTACTGAAACAATTAAATTAAACCGTGTTTTTTTCATTTTTAAAACATATTATTCGGCCAAAGATTATACAACAGAAACCAAACTTTATTATCATCCAGGATTTAAAATATAATTACTAAATGAGTAAAAATTATAAACTTAAAAGCGTATTAATTTAGAATTCTTTCGGGTTCAAACACTCCAAAAACATTATTAATACTTAAATTTTGATAAATTGTGGAAAACAGTGATGTTGAAACAAGTATAGATGATATTTGACAGTCATTAACTCACTATTATAAAAAACACTTCCATGCGAATCTATTAAATTTCACAGTAATTTGTATATTTGTAATTTCACAATTCTGTATTATAAAATTTCACTCATATATTAAAAAATATTTACTTATTTGAGAATAATTTTTTTTTATTCGCCAGTTTTTTTACCTTGATGGCCGAATATCCATAGTAGAACAATTGTCGGAACAATTTTTTTTATTAATGTACTTAATTTAAAAAGCTTTAATTTTATATAGTTTTAAAGGACACAGTCGATCCAAAATATTTCCAAAAATTGAGTTAAAAAAGAAATGTTTACATGCGTTGGTTTCATAAGTGTTTTTTATTAGATTTTCATAAAAATCATACTATAAGAAAGATTGTCTCTAGTTTACTTTGTTAAAAATTCATTAGGATCAGCTTTTTCAAAGAAGTTATATTAGTTTTAAAAAGATTAAATAAATAGAATTAAAACTATATTAAAAATATTATTAATTTAAAAACTAAAAAATATTTTAAAAAAAGGATTATTGAAAATGCCGTTTTTTACAGTAGCGTAACTAAAATTACTTACAAATGTAGGCATTGCATTTTTTTATGTGACGTAATATTAAAAAGAAAAAAGACATTAACTTAAATATGTACGTTCAAACTAAAATATTTCATATATTTTTATATACCATGATTAAATACCAAGATACTCATTTATTCAGAAACTTTTGAGACTTAAATTTTTATTAAGAAAAAATATATAATAGAATTATTTTGTTATAAATAAAAATAAGTGATTTCAAATAACTTATCAATTTCAATGCATCATGATTTTATGTAGGACTAATTTAATATAATATTATTCATAACGCATATAATATTTAACAAATTGTCATGTTATGGTTTTTGATTAAGGAGTTTAGATATATTTAAACTAATGTACACTTCATATCTATGATACATACAATACTATTGAACAGCCAACGCATTACAGCAGACGGTTAATGTTGCAACACACGCAATATGAGTCACCGTTTTATTGCCGACTTATGAGTAAGCTTAGCGTTTTATTCCACTATTCCTGAGTCCAAGCAACAAAAATAAAATCAATAGTTTCTCCGTACTTCATGAATCCTAATATATCTTTATAGAATCGTGTTTAAACTAAAACTAGTGTGAAAAGAATAGTAAATTTATATCTAATATTTATCAAAATCAAAACATATAATTTCATAATTTATTAAAGTAATTAAAGTTTAGTTTTTTGACGCTTTTACTAATTCAGTTGATTCTTTCTCAATCATTAATATCAGTATAGTTAGGTATATGAAAATGGCATAACTTTTCTATATAAATAATTATTTATTATAATTATTATGATTTGATGTTACACATGTAGAGTTACATGTATCTCATAGAGAACAGCAGCTAAGTTCGCCGTTTCTATTCATACCTCTTTGATGGTATTTTTAATTTTTAAATACTAGTATAATCTTTTCTTTACGAAACAATAAAACGAGTGGTTGAATCATATTCTGTAAATAAATCAGAAACTGATGTTTCAGATGGGATGAAATTAATAATATTATTAAAAATTATTATATAATATTTACAACAACCTTGTAATAGTAGTGATTTTGTTTGGTAAACCATCGTATAAGTAAAAACTATTGTAAAATAGACCACTTTAAGAGTAGACATTAGTGTAAAGCAAACGTTTCATAGTAGACGATAAAGCTTTTAATCGCTTAAAAAATTAAAATTTTTTATAATAAACAAAATCATACAATTTTAATTTTAACTCACCAATTTAAATACAACCCCTAATACATCCATTCTAGAAGTCTCATATTAAAGATAAAATTGACGAATTATACAAGTGATATCTGTTAATTTCTCTTACTAAATTTAAGATTTCTTTCTTAACAACTGATATGTTTATTTTATTTAAAAAATGAAGAGTCGTTCAAGAGAAAGACAGTAGTATTTTTTAAGTTGAAAACCTAGTGCATAAGAGAAAGCTGCCGCCACTACCATTTATGTACACATAATATTTGTTTAAATTGAACATGTTTTTAAAAATTTTGTTTGCACTAATATTGACAAGTCTTCGTCTTAAATTATTTTTATTTTATTTTATTTTTATTAATTATTTTATCTTAAATTAAGTCTTTAAATTATTAAAATAATAATTGTTTTAAATAAAATAATAAATTAAAAATAAAATTAATCTAAATATAATCTAGAGTATAATCATAATAAAATCATAACTATTAGTTAATTTTTTTTCACCTTTAAATTATTATACAATAAGGGAAAAGTAGGGTTAATTGGTGGTCTCAACCCTAAACTGCAAACAAACCTATTAGAATTGAGTTAACTGTATTTATTATAATTAGCTATTTTAATACTTAATAAGAGTGTTTAATAAAAAAATCAAAATTCCAAATTTTATATTAAAATCTTAAATTGAAATTTTTGTATGGACAAAACAAAAAAAGGGTCATTGGGGACGGCAGAATTGAATACCCTCAGTGATACAATTTCTAAATGCAGTCTTGTATAGATAAAACTAAGATAAAATGTTTAAGTGTTAAATTTGTTTCTCACTTAATTAAAAAAATAGACACACAAAAAAAAAACCCCTTAGTAAAATTAATACCTTCTCAGCTTCGCATCGAAGCTAAAATTGCACATTTTAAATAGGAAATGCATCATCAGGTTTTATCTTATCTGTGATATTATGGTCTAATCACAGACTACATGAACTATATGTTCATATAGTCTGTGGATAAAGCATCAATGTCCTATCCATGTTTACAAGATCTATGAGTTTAATACATGTTATAGAGAAAAGTTTGACATTTTCAATGCTTCCATCGCGGGGACAGCTGAGCTGTTATTGAATAGTGTTGGCTATGTGTTGCCCTCTAGTGTTTAATATAACTATTATTACTTTTATAAAGAGCTTATAATCAGAAATGAATTGTTTATTTTCCATTGGAAATTTATTTTATGTTTTTCAATACAGTTATTGCATAAATATCTAGAATAATAAATAATTATCGCATTTAATTCAATTTTCCGTTTTGTATACACTTAGAATTTTGTTTAGCTAAAATTAAATACCATGAATTTATAAATTTATCCTTGTTACATTAATTACAGTGTTTCAATGGCTGTATTGTAAGAAATATCAGTTGTTTATCGGATTCTTTTTTTAATATTATTATTTGGCAGCATTTATGATGTACATAAAAATTCTTAAAACAATTGGATATTATGGACAGTAACTCAGTTATTAGTGTGAATAGAGATCATGAATTAATATTAATAGTATCACACTGTTGAAGTCAAGTAATTTTTTAATCGGCTTTTAAAAGAAAATTATATATTGTGGTATAACATGATGGATTTCCTCCAAATTGTAGTCAGAAATCGTTTCCTAAATATGAAATAAGTGGTTAATCGAGGGATTTCCACAACTTTCATCATTTGGGGACTATAAAAATCGCAAATATTTATTGACAAATTAGTCTAGTATTCCGGTATAGTTTACTGGTTTAGTAGTATAGTTTCTATAAGTCATAGTGTTCCTATTCATTATTATATATGTTTATTAAAATAATATTTGTAACTATTTGCTTTGATAATTTTTTGTGTTATGCCCATTGAAATATTATTTAAATATCAAAAATATTACTGAGTGTTGTTATTTAATTCAACTACCTGTCTTTACAGCTTCAACCAAAAGATTTACTGCCAAAATTGGGCCCAAGAACAAATAAAAATTAATTTACTTCCGGGTCAAATATTTAGTCTGCATTAACACTCTTGAAAGAAAAGATAATATGTATCATATTTTGAATAAAAATTAGAAAAAAAGGAACTTAATTAAATTTTGAATGGGGCCCCTGCAACTCTAGTTATTATTTTATATAAAATAAATTAACTTATAATACTTTATCTTCAAAAAATTCTATTAAGTATATTATAATTTTTTTAAAGAACAAGAAGGTACATTTATATCAACGAATTTTTGGATAAATATTGGAGTTTGACCGAAGAATTGTTTAACTTCATAATGTCTAATACAACAAATTAAAAAATTTTTTTTTGTTTTATATTACTTAATATAAATTTATTGTATTCATTCTGTGTAGATAATATATTTACTAGAATCTATAGTTTCTTATTAAGTTATAATATCAAATACTGAAAAATGTTTTTGACACAAAACACTTTTTACTGGTGTTAAAGTGTATCATATGATTGAAATAAGTATTTTAAATTTCTAATGTAATGCTATCTGCTTATTAAGAATTAGTCATTTAAGGTATGTTCAACTAGATTGCGCCACGTAAAATGGCACAATTGCTATATCAATAACAACCGGACCGTATAACCACAGATAAAATAAATATTATCTTATCTGTGGTATAACACAGTCTAATATCTATTTTTTATCACATTAATTTACAATGATTATGTTTAAAAAGATTTCTAATAATGATATCAAACTTATACGTAGCATACATCAACGTACATAGCTCCTAAATATACCAATTTTAGCAAAAATATTAGTATATTAACTTAATTGTTATTATAATTAATATATTGTTTAGACGATCATAATTGATAAATTTTTAATGGTATTCCTATTGAAATCTCATAAAGGATCCATTTTTCAAGATAAATTGTATTGTATTACATTGAAGTATTTTTATTGAAAATTTGAGAGTAGAAAAAAAATCATTTAATCGGTATCAGTTTTTTTTATAATGATTCCTTCTACTAATAGTTTAAAGGATTCTCTTATGGTATATGATCATTTTAACTTGTAAGTTATGAAATATTTAATTTTAATAAAAATTAATTAAAATTGCTTGTTAATTTCATTGAATAAATGTATTTTTCTTGTATTTAATTGTTTAATGAGCGTTTTATAATCTTTTAAATTAGTTAGATTTTTTTTATGAAAAGTTTTATAAAATAGTTTAGAACTAAAATTGTAATATTTGTATTTTGGTTTAATATCTTTATGAGAACTCTAAAGAATATATATACTTAAATAAAGTACATTTAAATTATTAAAAAACAAATACTGTAATTTATATAATAATAATTTTTATATCATTAAACCCAGATTAAAAGACCAAATTTGATGGTATTACATTCTATAAGCCTAATTAAAATAAATTGATTACCTATTTACTTTGTTCATTTAATTATTTATAAATAGAACTAAAAAGAATAAAATGAGCAAAATAAAAATTTTAATATACATTTTATATGATCCCCTGAAAACTTACAGTCCTGCCTAATCAGATATTTGTTATTTATAAATTGTAATAATAATATTTGATACTGTTTTATTAAATAATAAAATTGAATACATTTGATTAAATATTTTTTAATACATAACATTTTAGAATATTTAATTATAGTTAATTAGAATTAAGTATAAAAAAATCAAAAATTAAAGTTAACTATACGAAATAGAAATAATTTTTTTGAATTTAGTATTATATTTTTTTTATTTAGGTATATTTGTCCTGATAATATTTTTATAGAACCAATACAAAATACAGATATACTATTAAATATTGATCGTATAGACTTTACTTATAAAAAAGAAGGTAACAAATATATTTTACAAAAACTTATTTAGGATGTGAAGTAAAAATGAATTATTTTTAGTGAACAATGGGCAAATACCAAAAGATTGCAATCATCAACAAATATTTGGTTTATTGGGTATTATAAAGTTATTGGTTGGTCCTTATATTGTCATCATTAAAGGAAAAAAACTGATTGGCAAAATAAGTGGACATGATATTTGGCAACTGATAGATGTAGACTTGATACCATTACCAAAGACTAAACTGCATTTAAATGAAACACAAGTATTAAAGTAGTTACTTTTTATATGATATGTTGTTATTAAAATTGTTTTTTTAGATACAAATGGATTTAGAATATGTGAATATGGTAAAACAAACGTTTAATACACCTTATTACTATTTTTCTTATACATATGATTTAACTCATTCAATGCAACGACTATATTACACATCGCCATCATTTTTAGAAGTGAGTAGTAAATTATATATTTATATAAAAGTAATCATTGAGGTTTAGAATTTATAAAATATAATTTAACTAAAAATAATGTTAATATACAAAATGTTTAGTCAATCTTCTCTTGACTAAACTATTATTATAAGTTAAAATAATATTTTTATTCAAATTAAAGTTATCATTATAATTACTAAAACTCAGTCATATTCATATAACCATTGGTGCGACCAATAAGAGGGATATTTAAGGTTGTATCTTCCCCTCCTAATTATAAGCAATGTTTAAATTTTTTATTTGTGATCAATTTTTTTTTTGCTTATTCAAATTTTCTCTAATAACGATACAGAATAAAAAATTTTAATGCGAAAAAAAAGAGTTACAAAAAAATTAAAAAATAATCCTCATCTCCCCAATTTTATTGTGATTGCATCACTTGATGAACTTGAAATTGTGATGTTATGTTAAGTTATGATACTTAAAGTAGATATTTATAAGCTTCTAGTGTGAAGTAGAGTAAATGTAAACAATTGGGATAATTGTATTTTTTTGTAAAATATTTAGCAGATTTTATTTAACATTGAAAAGTTCTGATATTAATGTGTTGCTATAATATAAAATGCAAGTTTGAAATAAAATTTATCTAAAAAAGTGCATTACCAATTACTTCCACTTCATTCTATATTTAATATCTTATAATTCTAACATTAAGTATAATTATGAGTGTTTGAACAAACACATGAGGCATTCACTACTTAAAGATTGTCCCCTTGAGCTGAATCAATTTATGTTAAAATCAATTTTTGACACTTTATTCCTTATTTATATATATTAATCACACTTATTTATTACATATTTTAAGACTCCAATGTATGAAAGAGCTGACAAAAGATTTTTATGGAATCATTCTTTGCTATCAGATTTTTGTATAGAAAATCATAAATTCTGTGTCCCAATAATTCATGGATGTAAGTTATTTTAGTTTACATAATGTTAATTTTAAAAATGTTTGAATCAAGTATTGAGTTATTTATGAAAAGAATTCTTACAGTTATTGCTATAAATTATTGTGTTTTAAATGGAAAACATTTTATTTGGACCATTGTTTCAAGAAGATCTTGGAATCGACATGGGCCAAGATTATTAAAGCGTGGGATAGATCATGATGGAAATGTAGCAAATTTTGTTGAAACTGAAATGATAGTAGAGTATAATAACACAAGAAGCTCTTATATTCAAGTATTTATAAACATTAATTTGAAAATTAAACTTAATAATTAGAGAATATCCAAAATGTTGTTTATTTTAAATTAAAAATTACATTTTTTATATTTATGCATAAAGGTTCAAAGATTTGAAAGGGGTAGAACAGATTTAATTAAAAATTCTTATAAATTTTTATCCTATAATCATTCCACTGTAATTTGTTTTTTAACAATTTTTACATTTGAAGACTATGTTAAAAACCATTATTTATTTTTAATCATTTTAATTTATGACTTATAAACTAATATTATAATATTAAACTCTAGTTTACTATTATTGATGAACAACTGGTCTAGTGAAAATATACTTGATAACTACCATTGAAACAGATAATTGTGATCTCTGGTATTATGATAAACAAATTAATGATAAATTTGTATTTTTAACCAAATATTTAAACAATTTTTAAATACAAATGATTTCCTACAAAAATGTTTTTTATTATATCATCAAACTAAAAATAGGAGTTTAATTAAAATAAAAATTTTGGTTTCTTATTCTTAAAACAATGAAAATAAAGTTTCTTAACTACAAAGAGTTATCATATAATTGTAGTTTTTAACTCATACAATATTTTTCTAAACTAAATTTAAATTTTAAATAATTTCCAAGAAAATGAGTTTCTTATCCATAATGAATCACTGTTTAATTTTTTTGTTTTTGGGAGCTAAATCTTTATGTATTAAGTCTAAGTCTTAACCCTCTCATTTTGCACCTATGCTCAAAACATCAAATATTTATCAAGTTTTTAAAATTATTATTAATATTACATAAAATTAAAATTAAATTACCATCTACTTTATACTATTATGACAATGTACAATAATATATTTTTATAAATAATTAATTATATATAGTAGTAGGATTCTTTTCATACTAGTCACTCAATTTCTCTTAAAATAATAATTATATTTGGTAATATTTAGATATATATGTATTATTTTTTATTAAAAAATTATAATTACTTTTTTAATTCATCTTTTATACCTTATAAGTAAAGTCTGGAATTATTTTCATTTAAACATTTTTGTAAAGTTATTCCGAATACACTGCAGCTAGTATTGTTGTGTCCTACCTAGGATGAGACATGGTAATGTGTTAGAGTGGATGTCGTTGTAATGTGAAATTAAAGTACAGAGTTATAACACAATATATTTATACAATGGTTCAAACGCGATCAATTATTGCTTATTCGTTGCCTAATACTAATTATTTTTTAATCCTACTACACTAATATCATAACAATACGGGTTCGTAACTAGTATAAATTTTTAATAATTGACTTGAAAACTTATTAATGATTGTTGTTACATGTCAATTACATGGTCAGTAATTCATAAGTTATTAATATTTTTATACCTAAGTGGAGAAGTACGACTAAGAAATATCTCATGATAAATATTAACATTTCCGTATCTCACCTCTATATTTCAAAATGGTAATAAATTTCGAAATAATTGGTTGAAAGTTTTTATCTTATACCTTATAAAGCTGAATAAAAAAGTAGTAACTGATAAATAGAGAAGTATATGAAAATACTAGAAATAATTATCTTAATATAATCATTATTTTAAGAGATATTGAGTGGTTAGTGTTAAAAGAATCAACTTGTATATGTTTTTAAATTATTTTATTAAAATACAAATTGGTTATAATTAAATAATTAAAAATTACTGTTTTAAATTTTACTGAACAAATTATATTTATCTTCTACTAATAATTTTGTTTTAGACGCGTGGTTCTATACCCTTGTTTTGGTCCCAATATCCAACATTAAAATATAAGCCTGTAGTGCAATTAGCCACAAATGAAAATCATTTAGAAGCTGCAACTCGACACTTTAATGAACAAATATTACTTTATGGTCAACAAATTTTAATTAATTTGGTAAATATAATATTATAATAATACAGTATATTTAGTAAGTTAAAAAAAAATTTTGGTGTCAAACAAACATTTTGTGAAACTGATATCTTTGTGTTTATAGATTGATCACAGAGGTGCTGAACAAGAACTGGAACGTAAATATCATGACATTGTAAATATGATAGATAGTAACAAAATTAAGTATGAAGCATTTGATTTTCACTGTGAATGTAAAAAAATGAGATGGGATAGACTTTCAATTCTGATAAATAGAGTAGCACATGAACAGGACAATTTAAATTATTTTCTTTTGGGTTCAGATGGTAAATTATTGATATCTCAAAAAGGAATTTTCAGAACCAATTGTATAGACTGCTTAGATAGAACAAATGTTGTTCAAAGTCTATTAGGAAGAAGAATGTTAACCATCATGCTACAGGTGCTTGAATTTTTAATAAGCATTACGAATATATATCTCCAGACATATTCTTTAATTTTTTATTTTAGAAATTAGATATATTACATATAGGTCAAAAAGTTGAAGATCAGTATGATTTAGAATCATTATTTAAAACAGTCTGGGCTGATCATGCTGATATTATTTCAATTCAGTATTCTGGAACAGGAGCGCTGAAAACTGATTTTACTCGTACTGGTAAACGAACATACAATGGAATGTTAAGAGATTTGAAAAATTCATTAATTCGTTATTACAAGAATAATTTAAAAGATGGTGTGCGACAAGTAATTATGATTTTAATATTTTTCTCGTAGATAAATTATGTATAAAAAGTTAATAAATTATATATTATTCATCATTTTCAAATGTAAAATATAAGAAGTTTTTTTTTTTTCAAAAATTATTATAAAATTATTTTAAAAATTTAGTATCCCACATATCATATATTTAAAATAATTGTGAGTTCTATCTCCTCTTTTTCTTAAAATTGTGTTAATTGAAATTTTGATGTAGTGATTTACAATGTAAAGGGTGATCCTTAAATTGTAAATATTTAATATACAATTATATAATTGACCCTAATAACTATAAAAACCACTTAATCTTATCCTTAAAGTGAAGGTATAATTTGATATTTTTTTTTTAAATATAATACTTGGAATACTTTTTACTTCTGATAAGAAAAAATGTATGCTTTATATTGGTGTTTTGGATGATATTTAGTGAAGAATAGTTAATTAATTATCTAATATTTATTATTAATGTACTATACAATCAGATCTGTGAATCATATTTATTTTATAACATTTTTTAAATAACAAAAATGTAATATTTTGATTGTGTCAACATCCATAGGGCACTATTTAATATAATATGTTTAAACTTGTCTTGTCTTTATTATATTTTATTAATATTAATTAGAAATAATTGCTAATAATTTTCTTATTCTTTTAGGATTGTATTGATCTTGTTTTAGGAAATTATAAAGTTAATAATGAAGAAAGTGCATCTTTGTCATGTCCATTAGAAGTTAAACCTGCATTAAAGTATATTATGGTAATGCTATATAATTTATTATAACATAAACAATTTTTAAAATAATAATAATAATTTGACTTAAAATTGTTTGTTTTTTTTAGTATCCTATCATTTTGATGATTGCCCTTGCAATGTTTATGGCTAATGCAATATTTACATCAGGTTTGTTCAGTTCAATTTGTAATGTGTATTAATGTATAAATAATATTAATAATAGTATAATCCATTAATGAATAATGGATCTAAAATAATTTTATCACTTATAATAATTTAATAATAATATTTTATTAAAATATAAAATAATGAACTCCTGTTGTATACACCAATCATCTAAATAATTTTTAATTGATGCCATAGTAGATTTAAGGATATGTGGGTGTTAAAATACTTCATAATTATAAATACAAGGATAATTCATAATTATCCTTCCTTATTATAAAATCTTGGCACACTACTGTTGTTGTAAATTTCAATAGCTAATAAGACATAGGTGAGTGAGTGATAGATCATGGAAGTTTGGGACATTTTTTAACTTCTATTGTAATAATAATTTTTTTAGTATTTTGCATTTTAGCATTACTGAATGTTTTCTATAAAAATTTCTTTTCTAAATTTTCTGTTATCTACATATTTTAGATAAAAGCTATTGGTTGTCTTCTTATAATTTTAAGAAAAAATAAACAGGAATTCCTGAAATGTATATTTTTAATTTTCTAAATCAATTTGACTAAAAAAAGGTAAAATGATTACCTAATGATTATGTGACCATTATATTTAATCATTAATATGATTAATATGACTTACTAGATGATAGTTCTGTATCTTAAAAGTAAACTATTACTAGTAAACTTATTTTTCAAAATGTGGTGTGATATTTTATAGAATCGTTATTCTTATTATTTTAACCTTTTGATACAACCCTTCTTGTGGCTAATGCTGTATAAGTACAATGTTTAATAATTTTTTTTTCTCTTGTCATTTATAGAATACAGTACAGGAACATACCTTTTTCTGCTTTTCTGGGGTTCTATGGTGATTTGTGTATTATCGTTAATACTCTATTATGGAAAGGAATTTGTTAATTATCCAAGGCTCTCTAATTTTGATAATGGTCGACGTTTGCATCATCATCAATCATAAGATACCACACATTCCTAAGTTATTAATTTTCATTTGTTAAAAAATTGGAAATTTTTTTCAATGTAATATTTTATAAAATTTATAAATTTATTGATTGTCATATGTGTGTGTTGCTATTAATAACAATGTAATTAAAATAAATGTATATATACTTACTTCTGCATTATGAACCTTTTTTCACTTTATTAAATTATATTACTTGTACTATTAAAGTAAATTACTATATTTATTTATCAATTATTACAGTCTAAAATTATATTATGTTACATTGGAAAAAAACATTTTGTGTGAATTTTATTATACATTTTTTTTAATTTAAATAATTTTCTTTTAATGAGCAGAAGTTAAAGTTTTATGGAATAGGTCTATGGAAGTCTGTCATAAATCTATCCAATATAAATCTGTCTTAATTTCAATATTTATAAAATTTGAAAGATCACCCATAAATAGCAATAACAGTATATGAAAATTTTAAAGTGTAATCTATCTCATACATTTTGGTGTTTAAATAATAATAAAATGTTTTTTGTTCCTACTTTTTGATATAATATTATTATTTTTTTATTTTTAATTAAAACCTTAATTATTCTAGTTTCATTAAAAAAAAACCAGCACAGGGGGATCGCGGCACAGTGGTGACGTGCCATAGTTGGATCAAGTATAATGATATCTAACAGTGATTATCACTATCAAAAAAAACGCTTCGATGCAAATCTTTAGATAGTGTTTAATTTTAAAAAATTGGTGGATTATACCAAACGCAACATCATGATCTGCTAGTTCGTTATTAATATCCTGATTCAGATAAAGTATGTCGAATGAAAAAGGGATTATTAAAAAATATTATTTCTCATAAAAAAATTATGTTGATCCATACACTTTTCAATAAGTTATATCATTATAAAGTTAAAAATGTAAAAAATAAAATCAAGAATTTTCACACAATAATAGCATTCGGTAGCTATTTTCACCGTGAAGAAAAAATAAAGTCCGAAATTTTTTTTTTGCATAATAAAGTACATTACATTAGCTTTAATTTAAGATATATATAAAAGTCTCAGACTTTCCGGAACACTTTCAAAAGTTTATTTTTTTTGAAAAAGTTGTCATTTTAAATCTCCCCTTGTGGGCAGGTTAAGGGTTAAATTTAATTTTTAATTAAAAAAAATTGAAAAAATTTCGAAAATTAGCGATTTTTAAATTTCGACTAGATACGATTTGTGATCTTTTGACGTATCGTTGAAAAAAATCGGTTCGGTGAGAGCTGCGAAAAAGTGGTTACTGACACAAAAAAAAAAATACATCTTAGTAAAACCAATACCTTCTCAGCTTCGCATCGAAGCTAAAATCAACAAAATTGGAATTTAGGTAATTTTAAATTTATTAAACAGAGTTAAATTTTGTGTTATTCAGTATGACATTATTAATAAACTTTTAAATGCACTAATTATTTTTTCAAATTTCCAATAGATTTTTTTATTTTATAATGTACATTCACATATACTTAAATATTTACCCACTCGGTAGTGTTAACCCGGATGTAAATAAAGCATTTGCTTATTAAAAAATGGATTAATTCAGTCTACATTTCTATAAAGGTTCTACCTATCTATAAAAATCAGATATTATAATCATTTTTTTTTTTATGAAATCAATCGTTTAAAAATTGTAATTATAACATGTTAATTAATATAATTTAAACTTTTTTTTTTCTTAAAATTGTGTAAATTTTATATAAATACGAACATTAAATTCTAACTTTTAAAGCAAATAGAAGAATCGAAACATCTACAGCTAAGTTTGGAGCTACTGTCTAGTAGGGTAAGATGGCGAGTTTAAACTTTAAAAGGCTATTTTAACCATACATCTCGAATTTAACGTTTACACTTGGATACAGAGCCAACTAAATAATGTGCGTAGAAAAGGAATTACGCCCTATAAAGGCTAAATTATGATTTATTTTAAGTATAAATTATCACTAGAAGACGAATAACTGATGAATTAGTATAAAATAATTTGTAAAATTTAGGTTGATATAAAATATTTTTTATCCTTTGGAGTATGTCTTTAGATCCTAGTCATTACAGTTATCAATAGATATTTTAAAACATCCTATGCTAATATCATAATATTATATTAATATTAATAATAATAATAATATTAATAATATCATATCACATAAAAATTAAAAAGTATTTTCACATATCCTCGTTTCTTTAACCGTGTACGCAAATATTAGTAGTCAATTTACTCTTTGAAGTGAGAAACGTTTTATTTGACTTATTATCATTTTTAACAAAAACGATCTGTGGTAATAAAAAATATCTTCCCGGTAAAAATAATTTTCATCATTTTTTTTCATTAGATTTAAAGTTTAATGTCAATTATGGTTTTTATATTTATTTAATGTAAGTAATCAAGAAAAATAAGCATATTACAATATGATTGTTTTAAAACCCTCATGGATTACTCATAATGGAATGCCAATATTTTCAATTGACATCCATCCTGATGGTACTCGTTTAGCTACTGGTGGACAGGGAAGTGATTCTGGTTTAGTTATTTTATGGAATACAGCAGCAATATTAGATGAAAATAGTGAAAATGACGAAAATGTTCCAAAAATTTTATGTCACGTAAGTGTAGTTAAAATTTATACATCCATTTATTAATTTTTTTATTTTTCTCAGGTTGATAGTCACTTAGCCTGTGTCAATTGTGTTCGTTGGAGTACATCGGGTAAATATTTAGCATCTGGCGGTGATGATAAAATTATTATGATATGGTCACTAACCAAGTATCCAAATAGTGGTAATGTTGTTTTTGGAACAAAAAATATTGTTAACATTGAAACATGGAAATGTATGTATACACTTAGATCACATTCAGGAGATATACTTGATTTAGCTTGGTCTCCCCAAGACACATATTTGGCATCATGTTCTGTAGATAATACTATTATAATATGGGATGCTCAAAAGTTTCCCTCTGTACATAAAATACTTACTGGTCATACTGGGTTAGTTAAAGGGGTATCTTGGGATCCTATTGGAAAATATATCTCGTCTCAATCTGATGATAAATCATTAAGGATTTGGAGAACTTCAGATTGGCAGTCCGATACAATTATTACTACACCTTTCAAAGATTGTGGTGGAAATACTGCAGTACTAAGGCATAGTTGGTCACCTGATGGTCAATACCTTATTTCAGCTCACGCTATGAACAATACTGGCCCAGTCGCTAAAGTTATAGAAAGAGATGGTTGGACATATGAAAAAGATTATGTTGGACATAGAAAAGCTATAAATTGTGTTAGATTTAGTAGTTCAATAATGGAACGAAAAATTGGAAAAAAAACACATAAAATGTGTTTAAGTGCTGTTGGTTCTAGAGATTCGAATGTTTCTGTTTGGCTTACTGGGCTCAGAAGACCTGTAGTAGTCCTTGAAAGTTTGTTTCAAGGACCTGTTTTAGATTTATCTTGGTCAAAAGATGGCCTCAATCTGTACGCATGTTCTTTTGATGGTACTATAGCAATTTTATTATTTGATCAAAAAGATATTGGTAAAGCACTAACAGATCAAGAAAAAAATGCTATTTATGAAAAAATGTATGGTGTGTCTTTATTAGAAAGACAAAACAATACAATGCTTATTGAAAACCCTGCAATTTTAAAAATGAATGGTATTCAATCAGTAGTTAAAACAATAGATTACTCTTCTAAAAAAGAAATAAAAATACCTCCTAAAACTTTACCTCCAATATTAAAAAAACAAATTGAAACTCGAACTTCTGATGGACGTAGACGTATAACTCCTATTTTTATACCGCCAACATCTGATAATACTGAAGAAATAAATATTTTACCATTTTCTTCATCGAGTGAAAGTAAAAGTCAAGTGGTTATCGAAAGAGTTGATGACATAATAGAACCTAATATTAGTAATAGCTGTAGCAACTTTAGTCAAGAATCTCAAACACCAAAAATTATTGACTCAACTGTGTTAAAAAATCCACCAACTTCAGTATTACAAGTTTCTCCTCATAGAAATGAATCTAAAAAGAAATCGGAACCACAATCAATGTTATCTAGCTTATTCCCTATTAAAAAAATAAAATTCAATGCAGTTGAAGAAAAATGTGATAATTTAAAATCTGATTTTATTCAATGTTCTGCTCAAAAGCGAAAATATACTGTTTCTGATGAAGGCGCTTATAAAGTTGTCATTGAAAATGAGAAATGTAATACAACAAGCGGACCAATATCAAAGATGAAAGTTTATTCTAACAATATAATTATTTGGGAAAAGGTATTTAGTTCTAGTATAGTGAAATACTGCATGAATAAAACATTGTGTGTCTTAATTGTAGCATTAAGTAATTCTACAATACACTTATTAGAATCTAAGAATGGTTCCCCTGTTTGTCCTCCATATGTTTTATCATCACCTGTTAATCAAATAAGCTCCAACAACAACTATTTATTATGTATGACTCAAAATACATTATCTGTTTGGGACATCAATGAACAAGTTTGTGTTTTACATGAGGAAAAATTAAATACATTAATTTGTTCTAACAAAAATAAACCAGTCCATGTACAAAAATGTATGTTAACTGAAAATGGAACAGCTCTAATAACTTTAACTACAGGAAAGTCCTATATGTTTTCTATTAAAACTAAATGTTGGATGATGATTGGAGACAGTGGAGATCCAATATATTCATATTCTTCTCAAAAGCATAAGCACAACGAATTAAATAAAAGTAGCACTCAATATCCATTAAGTGTGATGCAAGCTTATTCTTCTAAATATAAGCCAAATTTGATCTTAAAAGGTAATGAAGAAATAACATCTTTATGTTCAAAAGCATTTTTAGAACAACAAATGTCAGCAGCTTTAGCTTTGGAATCTGATAAAGAATATAAGTATTGGCTTTTAACATTTGTTTCATTTTTAACTGAAACAGAAGATAATGAAAGTTTGAGGTTCTTATGTCAAAGTTTACTAGGAAGTTCTCACAGTTATCAAAAACATAAAAAAAATCACACCATACTAGGTATGTCAAAACATGAACTTTTGAAAGAAGTACTAGTTATAGTTGCAGGTTCAAGAAGTACTCAAAGAATATTTACGGAGTTCCATGATCAATTACAGCAACTATCCAGATAAAAAAAATAAAAAACATAGTATAACATGTTTTTACTCTTTTTACATTGAATGTAAATCAATGGTTTTTATTTTTTATGATTCCTTAATAATACTTCTGACTTCATAATACTACTGTATTACTTCATGTTTAAATAGTTTATATTTTTGTTTTATTCATAGACATTACACTTAACTTAATAAATGTTATTAGCTTAACTTAAATGTAACATAATATAATGTTCAGTGTAATGCAAAATTATAATTAAGTTTTTAGTTCCTTTTACTTATAATGAAGTATATTTTTACTTGTATTTTTGTAATTTAAATAATATTAAAGTAATTGAAGTATAATTGTAACATAGAAATTAATTCATATAGGTTTTGGCTTTATACAATTGTAATTTATATGGGGTTTTAATACTCAAGTAAGATTAATCTTAATTATTGGCTATGTTTACTGTATAATTAATTAAATTTGTTAACAAATGCTGTGATTTTTTTATTTATGTTAAAAAAATTGTACATAGTTTTTTTTGTAAATTTTTGTTATTTTGTATGTAAAAAATATTTATGCTGTATAATATATTTGATGAACATCTAAAATAATAAATGACAACTTGGTAAATTGAGCTTGTATATGTAGTATATTTGTTGAAATATAACTTCATGATAAAAAAAAAAGTGAAAATTTAATGCATAAATAATGATATATATTACTTTATAAAATTAAAGTTAAATTATTATTATTTAGATTAAATGGAATTATAATTTTTTTTTTTTTTAACAAATATTAACGGTATAGTCAATTTAAGGTAAATAACATTTTTGGTAAGTGACTAGGGGATGAAGTTAGGGCTGTATTAAGCTATTTAATTGCCCTAAATATTAAATTTAAAAAAAATTACTTTTTAAGCGCCCTTGTAATTTAGTTTACTACATATTTTTGACTGAAAATGATACTTTAACATGAGAAAAATCGTCAAACATGAAATTTTAGATTTTAAACGCCTTGCTGTATGTTGATTTTTCTTTTGTAGATTAAAGTTTTTTTTTATTATTTAAAACAGTATTTTATTTTTTATAAAACAGTTAAGACAAGTAATAATGGTATTTATCAATTAGTTTTTTTAAATAAATATAATTTATGTATAAAAATTCTGAATAACAATAATATTATAATAATTTGAACTAATCATCCCAATCGCCATCAGTTTCATTATTTTCATCAATATCATTTTCAGATTCTGAATCTGGTGGTAACATTTTTGTAGCCATCCTATATATAACTCCTTCTAACCCACTATCATTTTGTTTATTTGAACCAGATATTCCCTGTCTACGCATAGCTAATTTTTTGTGTAAATCAGCCATTAAACCATCACCTGTTGGTACTTCATTATAGTTAGATTTTCGATGATCTACAGGACGCAATTTAGCTTTATGCATTCCTCCTGCATTCCGTATTTCATCCATAAGAATACTATGAGTATTTACATTATCTAAATTTGCAATAGATTTTAAATCATTTTTAACTAATTCAATATCATCATTTGTAGTTTTTATAAAATTTACTGGAGGAATACTTTTAAGATCTTCATTTATTTTAGTATTTTCTTCTAAACAGGTAGCTGAATTATAAGAAATCACTTGAACACTCTTTAAGTGATCCAGTTCATCAAATGATGGTAGATCAGCTATAGTAGATTGAGGGCATACAATTAGTATATCATTATTCACTTTTTCTGAACAAATTGTATCACCGGCAATACCTGGCAAATCTGGTAAATCAGTTGGAACATCAATAGATGGTATTTCTTCATAAACTGGCGTATAGGAATAATTAAACTGATTTTCTGTTTCATTTAAAGGCAATGTAAATACAGGCTTGTTCAAATTTTGAATTTGTTCAGTTTTTTTATCCTCTATTTTAGGATTGGTTTTGTAAGAATTTAATAAGGTATAATTTTTGTATAAATTTTCATTAGAATTGAATAATAACAAAGAACTAATATAATTTATATTATCTGGTATATTACCAATACCTTTGCGCTGCAAGATATCTCTATTTTTAGATGATCTTTTAACAGGTAAATCTACATTAAAAAACTGAAGTTTTTTACTAGGGTCGATAGGTACAGTTACTTTATGAACAACTTGAATATCAGCTACAATATTAGATTTTACATCAAAATTGTAGCAATAGTTATAGTCTTTATAACAATGAGTTGCAGGATATTTAGAACTTGAATAAACTTGGATTGACTTGTTAATGAGAGGTAAATTTTTCACTTTATTAGCTACATTAGTGAGTTTACTATTTAATTTTTCTATTTCACATTTTTGTGATTTAATATTACTTCGGACGTGAGTATAAACAGCATCAACAACTTTGTCTAAGCAATCTAACGATTTAATCAAATGTAATAAAGTTTCTTCATAACCCAAATCATATGGGATGAGAGGTACTTCTGCAGCTTTGTTAACTTCAAACATTTTCACACATGAATTTAAAAAAATAATAATAATAATCAACCATTTCAGATTTAATAAAAATGAATAATGATTTAAAAGGATGCTTTAAATTATATTTAAGGAGCACTTAACAACAAATGTATAAAATTTAAAAAAGGATTAAAAAGAACTTATGTAACACTCGAGTGTTACAATCTTAATACGTCTTATCAATGGTTACAATTAAAATAACTTTGGGTGCTAACTTCAGGACATAAACATAGTAGTTGATATCAGCTACTTCTAGACATTTCGAGGTATATGTCATAAGTACGAAAGATATTAAATTTTGTCATTTTGGGCGCAGATTCTTCTTTTTCCTTGCCATTATTCCAACTATTTGGGATCGGCTATTTTGGGTGCAGATTACATTTTAAAAAAATGATAAGGACCCATTATAATTTTTCTATTTACATATGCTAACGACAACAACAAAAATGTATATTTATAAAATTGTCCTAATTATTGGATGTATGGCACATTTTAGAAGTTCAAATTAAGTTGGTAGCATTGACGTTATAGAAATATTTTAGATACACATTTGTGTACATATAATAACAAACTAAACTGCTAAATTCCCTATGCTAGCCAGGCAAAAGGTTAAAGCACCATTCCGCCATTTTGAGTAAATTAATTGTTTCATCACATTAAATAATTTGATTTTTCGTTACCATTTTTCTTAAATTACACGACAAATTCACAATTTTACACGATTATTGATAACCCTATTCTATAATCGTGCAATTTTGTCATTATATTATTATCAGTGATTTTGGCTTATTTGACTTACTCAAAATGGTTTCCGCGGTGGCTTCGTCTATCACTAGTTGGCAATCTACTTTGTTTTAAATATCCATTAACAGAATGTATAAATAACAAACCCAGGTAAAATGGATTGGTTAAGAGGCCTTATCAGGCGATCCGTTTTGTTACTCATAGTAAGAGCAATTTTAAAGTAACAGTGTATTTACTATTTTATATGTATTTTTTCGATTTCCCCTTCGTTATTTAAATTTTATATTCCAAAATCATTTTTGTCGCTAAAGCTCACTGATCGCTAAATATTTCTTTCTGTAGAATTTCTATAGCAAAATCGAATCGCACTCCTTATTTCTGCCAACCTTGTTTTAACCAGCCCATCTTATCTTAGTTCGTAATCTAGAACATTGACTCTGATAACGCGTTTATAAAAGGCGGAGTATATTTCGAGAATGATAGTGATATCAGAATGGGCTTTCTCCAATTGGATCTTTTCAGAGCACAGTAATATCTCTCAAACTTATAAAAATATACTCTATCTCTCTTATTCGGACTTTAACAATCATGCCTACCAGTCTTCAAATTAAAAAATCCGATTATATAGACTGCCTGTATATCCGTGGTTTAGATGTATAAATCTAAGTTTATATCTGTTATTTTAGGTTATGTCTTATCATTTTTCTAAAAAGTGTAGTACTCCCTCATTGTATACCATGGTTTGAATGTCTGTTCTTGTAATCACTAGTTAGTTTCTAGACTGTGATTACAATCAATCAACAACAATAAGCCTAATCTTCATCCAAGACTAAAACTAGCTGGAGTCATCATTGTTTTAAGTTAGATTGATTAATACAAAATACTTCCGTTGTTCTCTAATTTTATTTTTACTTTATTTTTTGTAAGTAAATTTAATTGAATTATATCCACTCTAAAACTTTGGATAGATAATGCTTACCACGTGAAATGTAAGTTCATGTAGTGTCTTCATTTATCTATTAATAATTTTAAGATATATATTATTACTCGAAATAATTATCATTAATAATTCGTTAAAAAATAAAATTTATCTATACTGAATGCAATTTTTTTCAGATAGTTCACATATTTGGTATTTCCATGTCGAAGAAAACTATAATAATTAATAATTATCTGGATTAAATTTTTTTTTAATTCATTAGATTATTAAATTCAGTAGAGTATTATATTAACTTTTCTTAAGTTTTTCATAAAATAAATTCTGATAAATCCATTATGTATGAATCAGAAATTCATACTGATGAAGCTTTAGTTCAACCCTCTGAAGTTGTTACTTTACCACCAGCACTCGAACAAGCTTTAAACTACAAAGACGAGCGAGCAAAAGAAGTAGAGGTTGATGAAAAGAATTTTGAAGGTAAACCTCAGTTACTTTCTAAGCATGATGATATTCAGGAACAACTTCTAAACAAAGAGAATGAAGATGATGATAATAATGAAGATGTTGATGACGAACAAGAAAAGCAATCACTGAAATTATCTTCTAAAGATCGTAAAGTGGCTAAAAGGAGAAAAAAAAAGTATAAAAAGAAAAAGAAACAACAGTTAAAAAATGAGAAAAAAGATAAAGAGGCTACTTCATCTTCAGACAAAGAAAATAAGATTCAACCTTTAGATATAGAAGTCGAATATATACAAGAAACTTTAAGTGTATTTAACCTTGTACCCATGTATCGACAATATGCAAAAGTTTTTGAAAATTTTAAAATTCCAGAACCAGAACAAAAACCATTAGACCAAGGTAACCAGGAATCATTAATGCCTAATTTAGATCTTAAAAAGGTACCCAAACTTCTTGAACAAGAAGATGACGATGACGATGAACACAAAATGAAAAATGGAGAATCTCAGTCTAAAGACCCTGACAAATTGTCTAGAAGACAATTTAAAAAGGTTACACGTTTAAGTGTTGCTGAGCTAAAACAATTAGTTTCACGCCCAGATGTTGTTGAAATGCATGATGTAACAGCTAGAGATCCTCATCTTTTAATACAGTTAAAAGCACATCGCAATACAGTACCAGTACCTCGTCATTGGTGCTTTAAACGGAAGTATTTACAAGGTAAGCGGGGTATTGAAAAACCTCCTTTTGATTTGCCAGATTTTATTAAGCGTACAGGTATCATGGAAATGAGAGCTGCTCATCAAGAAAAAGAAGATGAAAAATCTTTAAAAAATAAAATGAGGGAAAGAGTCAGACCTAAAATGGGTAAAATTGATATAGATTACAAAAAGTTACATGATGCTTTTTTCAAATTACAAACTAAACCAAAATTATCCTTACATGGAGACTTGTATTATGAAGGTAAAGAATATGAAACGAAACTGAGAGAAAAAAAGCCAGGTGATTTAAGTGCTGAATTAAGAACTGCATTAGGTATGCCAGTTGGCCATAATGCTCAAAAAGTACCTCCTCCTTGGCTTATTGCGATGCAGCGTTATGGACCACCTCCTTCTTACCCGGCTTTAAAAATACCTGGTTTAAATGCTCCTATACCAGAAGGGTGTTCTTTTGGTTATCATGCTGGTGGTTGGGGTAAGCCTCCTGTTGATGAACGAGGCCGTCCACTCTATGGTAATGTTTTTGGTACTCCTTCCGATTATGATGAATCTAATATTGCTGAAGAGGTAATTGACAAATCAATGTGGGGAGAACCAGATTCAGAATCCGATGTAGAAGAAAGTGAAGAGGAAGAAGATGAAGAAGAGGTTAAGGAAGTAGAAGAAGTTGCTTTGGATGCTAGTGGTATTGCTACTCCAGTTGCTGAAGGATTAGCTACACCATCTGGTATTATGTCAGGGCTACCTAGTGGTTATGAAACACCAGAATATATTGAATTAAGAAAACGAAAGATTGAATCTGAAATGGAAACCAGTGAACAGCAACCTCTATATCATGTATTACCTGAAAAGAAGGTAGACACAGTACGTGGTTCAATGATGGCATCAACTCATATGTATGATATTCCAAGTACTGTAACTAACAAACCAGGTGAGGTAGAAGTTAGTTTGGATCCTTCAGAACTTGAGTTAGCTGGAGATGTTGAAGCAATGGCAGCTCGATATGAGCAAAGAATGAAAGATCAACGTGTAGGTGATGATGACGGAGTGGAGTCTGAAAAAAAGAAAGGACAAAAAAGAAAATCTACACAAGATACAAAAACTAGTAAAAAATATAAAGACTTCAAATTTTAAAAGATTATGTAAAATCAGAGTATTAATAAGATTTTAAGTATTTTGTACTTTCTTAATTTCTTTTTGATTTATTAAAATATTTAAAATTAATGGTAAATAAATTCAATAAGTTTTAAATGATTAACATTTATTTAATCTACTGTACTGGTTAAAATTTTTTAAAAGTGATTTAGAAATTATTATAGAATTAAATGTATAATGGGCGGCCTTAAATACAAAGTTACATACACACAATTATCATAGATTTTGTTTTTATACAATTAAATATGTCTTAATTATTAATTAATTAAATAATATCCGAAGATGTACAGATGTCACTGTTTTATATGAAAAAAAATGTCAAAATGTCTAAAACTTTATATAATACTATATAACATTTAATTTATAAAATTTTAGGTTATTTTAAATACATTATATTTAATTTGGTTCTTAAATAAAATTCTAATGAGTTCTAGATTTGATCTAACAACACAGGTATTCCATACCCGACAAATTTGATTAAAATATAGTTAAATTCAGATAGTAAATGTAGTAAATGAACGATTAAAATTTAATTGTTCATTGAATTGAAATAATAAACGTCACGTCTGACTAAAATCCTGTCAAATTTTGTCGATTGATGCGCATTTTTTATGATAGTGATTTAAATCATTGATAGATATCAATACTCTACGTCATAACTGAGCGACGATCCGACTGTATTGGCTTTGTTTTATTAATTAAAATATTGAAAATTGGAAGACAAGGACAAAGAATGTAAAGGTATGATAAAGCTTAGACGTAGAGCTCTAGATCTTACTTGTGTATTTACATATTACATACTCCACCTGTGATACATACCCACTCTATGTAGTAAAATGCTTGTAACTGACTAAGTTCTCGACCTAATACTACTATAGACCCATTAAAATTTTTTGTAAGAAATCTCTAACAAACAGCCATTTTTGAAAAAAATAAAAAAGTATTTAATTTTTTTTTAATTAAGAACAAATGAGATAAGAATGCATAAATTAAAAAAAAAACCCAAAATATTTAGTAAATCAAGTCATTAGATTTTTCAAAATGTAGAACACAGTATCATCTTCTTTTTCCTCGCCTTAATACTTGGGGTCGGCCTTACAGTATACACATTATGGAACACAGTATATATATATATATATATATACAGATAACAACCAGTTAGAGATTTTGGAATTTTAAGTGATATAGAAAAAAAATTATTTTATAGGAAAAAAAAATTTAATATTAAAGGGGCGCAAAATAATTTTTGCTTTCTTTTGTATGGACCTTAATGTAGTCAAGGGATAAAGGGGGTAATTATTTGAACTTCATCTGGAAATGAAGTTAAAATAATTACTTATTATTAAAACAATATTAATTGATGTATTGATTTTACGAACTTTTTTAATATTATTATGATCTCCATTTATACAAAATAACCATATTTTTTTTGAAAACTTCATGACATTATTACTTTTGCTTATTAATAATACAAATCAGTAAAATTCGTAATAATCTGTCCAATTTCAAAAAAAAATTTTTTTAACAAATAATGGTGTTGTTAAAAAGTGATTTTATTGATAAATAAATAAATGATCATTTATTGTTTTTATTTCTAACTACAGTTTACTATACAGTTGTTAAAAAAATTATTTTTTTATTCAAATTTAGCATGAACTTATCATATAACAAACACTTAGAAGTATTTATTGAATAATTAAAACCATCCTACAGAAAATAAAAATAAAATTTTAAAATATAAATACATGTTTGCAAACAATTTATTTTAAAATAAGAAAAAAGTTAATTAAATAATTAAGATAAAAATTGTTATGAAGTCCAATCCGTAATTCTTATTGTTTAGAAACTAAACTATCTTTAGCCCTCTTAGTTGTACCAATGATGGTCTAAGTATAACAGTTTTAAAAAAATTACTTCAATATAAACTCATAATAATTGATTTTTATTAGTAAATAATATAATTATTATAAGCATATAACGACAAATCATGGAGTATTCGGAAAAAGATACGCTAAATCCTAATCACTGATATGATAAAACTACAGACTATATATTAATATAGTCTGATAAAATTATACAATTGTTTTATCGTATCTGTGTCCTAACGATGAATGAGCGCTAAGTTTTTTGTTGTCACATGTTCTGATAGAATGTTAACTAAAAATAATAATAACTGAAAATTATAAACCTTACTTTTATCTCATACTAACTTATTACAAATTGATGTTTTCTATGTTAAAAATGAATCAGTTTCATGTGTATAAAGTTTAAAATATCCAATTTATTACAATATTTTCATTTGATATTAAACTTTTAGGTGTATTATTTCTTTAGAGTGAGCCACAATTAAGTATGTATTTATAAATTTTAATTTGATTAGTTAACTTTTGGTTAAGATTTTAGCTAAACTGAATAATAAAAATTAGAAATTAGAAATTAACCATTGATTAATAGTTTTTACGAATATTGATTTATTATTTTAATTTTCTTTTAAGTACATTAATAATGTAATAATTTTCCTATTCAAATTTTTAGGATTCAATAAGTTATTCAATAAATTATTATTTTTAATACTTTTGTAATATTTTTTTGGAAAAAAACTGATTTTTTTTGTTGTTTTCCTTAAATTTAATGGAAATAGTTGGTTTAACAAATAATAATATATTTATACTTTTTTTAAGAAACAAATTACAATTTTTTTCTATTTTTGATTAAATATAGCCAAAATAAAAAATAGTTAATTATCATAAAATTTTACTATTATTTGGTTTTTTAGTTTTTGCAAAAAATGTATTAGAATACTTTTGTTAGTCAATGATATATTCTACCAAAAAAATTCAAATTGAAAACGTAATTTTTTTTTTGAAAAAGTAGTAATTTTGAACCTTCCTTAGTGGGCAAGTTAAGGGTCATCATCATCATCTATTAAAGGCAATGCCTTGTCGTTGAAGCCACTCCTCTCTGTATGAATTTTTCATTGAAACAAAAGAAACATAGTAAAGTACACTTGTATAATGTAAATGTTTGTTGCTTTGCTTCTATTTTTACCATAAGAAACCTGTCATTTAGGTGGTTTGAGTTGAGTACATTGTCGTCTTTCTACTTCCCTCCTAATATTCGTTTCTTCCTCTTTTTTCATTTCTACTATGAATTATTTTAAAATCGTCAGTTATGAAATCACCATTTCCTGCCCATCTTGTTTCACTTATACCAAGTATATCTAGCTTTGCTTTCTTTGTTTATTCTTTTACTTCTTCCAGTATTCCAGATTTAATCATTGTCTTGGCATTCCATGTCTCTATTCTAAAATAGTCCTATTTAGTCTTTCCATAAGGTTTTTTGTCAGATGATGACCCGAGTAGCCTTAGATCTATTCCTGCTGGATCTTGGTGTCCAAATTCCATGATATGTACGTCTATTCATTTTCATTGTACATCATTTAGTTAGTAACAACTTCTTGGTTAGAAATATTATAAAGTTCTTTAATGCAGTGGTTTCCCTATTTCCTTCTGCATCCTCATGACCAATGATCAATCTTTGAAGGTCATATCACACCTACAGAACAGGCGATTGCCCTTTTCTTGCTACTCATCCACCCTTTTGCCCGTTGGTTTACAGAATTTGCTCTTTATTCTGAGAGTTGGTTAAAATAAGGGTTAAGGGTCATATTTTCTATAAAAATATATACCTAAGAAAAGAAAAATACCTAAGGATTTTTAAAAAAAAATTTGTTTTAGTTCATCCATTTTTCAAAAAGTAATGGCAGATTTAAGTAAAACAAGTTTAAAAAATGTCAAAAAATTTTAAATTGTACATTTTTTAGTGATTTTTTCTCCATTTACTAAAAAGGAAAACATTTTTTTTTAATTTTTGGAGGTATTGTCTTCAACTAAATAAGATTTGTGATTTTTTAACATATTATTCATCAAAATTAGTCCAGTGAGATCTGAGAATAAGTGGTAACAGACAAAAAAAAATTAATAAACATATTATAGTAAAACTAATACTTTCTCAGCTTCATATTTAGCTGTAATTTCACAATACATTCAGTTTTTACAGATTTAACCTAACAAATTCTTGAAAATATTTCTATATAGGTCAATCAATGTAATAATTATGGTAACAATTTTGGAAAAATTAAAATTATTTTGTTTCCTAGTCCTGCTTATAATAATTGTATTATGAGCTGGAGACAGTTCAATTCATTAAAACACTTATATTTTTTTTCTTCATTACTATAAAATTTACAAGTTGTTACATAGTACGTAATTGTCATCCAGATTTCAATAAAATAATACTATATATAATAAAAATTGATCACTTGTGGTTAATATTATTTAAAATTAAAACTACATTAAAAATATTATTAATATTAATTTGTGTTCAGCTTTGATAATGGTAACATTGTTTCCGAAATACGTATCCGTGATTTTTTAGTAATTTTTTGTGGTTTTTTGAGTTTAATATTTTTAATGTAGTTTTAATTTTAAATACTATATAATATAAAATATAATATAATCAAAATAAAATTAATTAGTTTAGTTAAACTTAATTTTTTTATATTTAGATATTATGGCTGCTAGTAATTTATGTGCAGAGTCAATTTATAGACAAGTTGTAACTGAACATTTCCAATCAAATAATTGGAGAGATATATTGATAAATCCTGAAGGAGCTTCAACAACTTTACGTGATGAAAGTACATTACCTCGTTCAGGTGGTTATAGATTTAAAGATATACCTAATCGTTTTCTATTTTGGAGAGTTTTATATGACAAACTAGAACTTGTTGAACATAGTTTGGATACTAATCTGACTGAAAATCAAGTACGTATTCATTTTCGTGATTCACCAGTTTTAGATAGTGGAATTTCTGTGTATGAAACTTCAGAATCTGTTGTTCTTCTTGTACCTACAGCTTGTAGTTGTCATCGATTTTCATTTCCACGACCAAACTGTATTGATAATGAAATACAAAATGAGAATGTTTGGATGGATGCTTCTATATTCTCAAACTTTAATATACCTTCAATTGATGATCCAGCGACATTTTATTCATATAATGCAGAGCTTAGTCATCCATATTCTGCTGCATCTTGTTTGGATCAAAAACATGATGCCATTTTTATTATAGCATTACAAAATAATGTAATGTTATATATACGCTTAGAATATATTTCAGGCCTCCCTACTTTGAAAGAAATATGTCAGGAATCTGCTGTTCCAAGAATGTTATCAAATATAACCAAAGTGTTTTCTACTCATGTTGAAAATCCAGTTATCAATAGTTTGGCAGTTCACCCATTTCAACAAGATATATATGTGTATTCTCTTGATGAAGCATGTGAATTGAAAGTCTGGTCTATTGAAAAATCAGTTTATATATATATAATGGATATGAAGAAACTTTACGCGTCTTCAGCTGAAAATGGTTCAAGACCACATATTATCCATAAACGTTCTGATGATCAACTATTATTAACTATCTATCTAAGCTTATCAGAAAGTTCAAAATTTGTTGTTTTAGAGCCATGTACAGACCATGGTATGTTCAAACTTCAACAAAAATTTTATGTGTGTTCTCCAATGAATAATCGATTGGTTGACATGGCATTTTATGGAGATGAAATTTGGTGTATTTGGAGAACTGGGAAAGATGTTGCATGCATTAAATCAGTTAATATAAAAAGTGGTGAATGGAAAAATTGTATATTAGATACAACTGCTTTTGAACAACTCATTACCTATTCACCTAATATTAAAGAAACTTATTTGAATAAAATATTTTCTTCTCCGACTTATTTTACTGAAAATGATTTAAAAAATGCTATAACTGTTTATGATACATCAGATAATTATGAATTTGTTACAGATTATAGATCTAAAATTAGTAATGCTATTGACACTAAAGTATCTCAAGAAATGGACAAATATGATTCTAGTGACTTGGAATCACAATGGCAATTAGTTGAACAATGCAGTGCTAGTTTCTATAAAAGTTGTTTGGACTATCGCCGTAAAAGACTAGCTCCACTAGGACTCATTTGGTTGGGTCCTTCTTCAAATTTACTTGTTATCATTACTAATTCAAGTTTTTGCTTCTTGCGTCCTACTGATAACATTGAACATAAGATTTTCTCAATGAACAATGCCGTACATGAAAATGAGTTAAACCGTTTAATTAATGTATTAATGTTGGATCAAAAACATAAATCTAGCCAATTTTTAGATATAAATATCCCTTCTAATAATTTAATAAGTTTAATAAAAGAATTTTACAAATTTGATAACAGTAATCCTAAAGTAACTTTATTTTTAAATGGACGTAATATATGTGATACAGTTCGATCCTTAATTTTATTGCTGTATGTTGATGCTAAAAATGCATTTGAAAAATCTTTCACTAAAATATTTAAGAGTAACCTTGGGATAAGTGTTATATCTCACAGTTTTCATCAAATGGTTTTGACACGATTTGATTTATGTTGTCGTCTTTTGGCATTAATGGAATTAAACACCAGAAGTTATGGACAGACAAGTGAATTTGTAATAGATGCTCGAACACTTGTACATAGCTATTGGATATTAGCAGTATTTTCACAAGATATAAAACTATGTGAAAAAATGTATTTAATTAATCATCAAATTTTAGTTAAAACATCTTTTATAGATTGTATTAAAAATTTGTTAGAGTATACATGGCCACTTAATAATGGTTCTACTATTGCTAATTTTTTATTGGAAGAAAAAAAGTATAACTTTATACAAAGTATGGCTCATTTATTGGATTACAGTAAATGGGATGAGACGTTAGTTATGTCCTATATGTTAAACAATGAACCAGACAAAGCCCTTGATGTAATGAAAAATGATATAAATAAAGAAACCTCTCAGTTTCTTAAAACTATCACATTATTTGAAAAACATGGATATTATAAACATGCTATTCAACTTGGAAAACATGTTTTGGAAATGGCTTTACATAATGGGGATGAACATATGTCATCAATGTTTTACTCAAACATCTTCCTTAACAATTTAAAAATAAAAGCTTATAAAGATGCTTATAACAATATTTTATCCTTAAAAGATCAAGATAGAAAACTAAATTGTTTGCATACATTTGTTTTAACATTACTAGAAAATGGTGAAAAAGAACAATTATTGAGTTTCAATTTTTCTGGTTTACAAAGTGCAGTAGAAGATATTGTGTTGAAAAAAGCTCGTTCGCTTTCAAATGTGGATGCTGCTGTATATTACATGTTTTTATGTTCAATGCATGATAAATATCATAAATATAAAAAACTTGCAATAACATTTTATGAATTATATGTACGCGCAGATACAAATGTAGAACAAGAACAGTACTTAAGGTTGTCTCTTTTGTATTTGGAAACATTAAGTTCTGAAAAAGCATGGTTTGTTACTACAAGTTTACCATGCTATTCAAAATCTGTTTATACGAGTGACAAAAAAGATGGTTTAATACAAATAGACGATTTAAAAAAACTGTGTTTGTTAGCTCGAGCTCGTCAAGAAATTGAAGATTCTACAACAGATGTAGATGTTCAAAGTGTTATTTCGGTATTAATTATGAAACATAAGTACAAAGAAGTTCTTCGCTTATCTAAACTGTGGAATTTACCAATCCATTATCCATTAAGAGAATTAGTAAAAACATGCCTGACATTAGTTGATCCTGAAGAAAGTGAAAAAGCTTGGATTTGGTTAGCTGATAATGGTGTTAATGGAGATGGTATTGACAGTGCAAAAATCGCTTGGCGATTTTTAGAAACATTAGTTAATAGATATGAAGAAAAAAACTTAACATTGCTTCATTATCATGTAGCTGATGAACTGTTAAGAAATAAAGCATTTTTGCCTAATTGGCTTGTCAAAACTTATAAAGAAAGAAATATTGGTGAATTATTACAACTATATTTGAGTTATGGAGAGTTACTGAGTTGCGCCTGTATAGTTTCTGAATTTTTTGAAGTTGTTATGGACTATAATGAACTAAACAAATGTGTTTATGGTGAAACAGTACCTACAGATATAATTGAGTGTTTAATTGTAAATTTAAAACACCATAATTTGCCTCTTGGAGATGAGTTATTAGAAAAGTATAAAATTTTTTGTGATAAAATTGTTATACAGGAAAGCAAAAAATTGGATGAAATAAACCTATGTTTTAATTATTAAACTAATTAGCTAATTTATATTAATTTTTTTATTTAAATTTTGTAAATTTTATATATTTAATGTCAGTGTCTTTTCTTTTATTAAATAAAAGTTAAACTGTAAATATGTTCACTATTTTATTTCTATCCTGTAATTAATTACAATTCAACCATATTTGTTAAAAAAGAACCTTTTTCAACCCTTATTCACCATAGTATTTTTAGCATATTATTGACATTAATTATAAAAAAAAAACCGGCACAGTGAGGACGTGGTATAGTTGTGTCCAGTATAGATTTAATCTGGAAATGATTAAAACCACTATCATAAAAAACACGCTTCAACGAAAATCTGTAGATAGTGTTTAATTTTAATAAAATGGTGAATTTTTCTAAAAGCAACATGATCTCCTATTTCCTTATTTATACCCTGCTTACAAGTTTTATGATTTGTAATTGTAATATATGAATAAATATTTATTATAGCAATTAAATATAGTATGAATTTGATATTTAACAATTTAATATTGTAATTTTTACAGAGAAATTATAAAAAATTATAAAGTAGTTATTACTTTTATGGCAAACGTATATAAAAGTTGAAGGTCTTGATGTAATAATTAAAAAAAAAAAAAGTTTAAAAAAAGTTGTTATTTATAAATAAATTTACTAGTCTTCATCCGAGACCAAAATATTCTTTTCTAAACCTATTTTTAATAAATAATAAAAAAAATGTTTAAATAATATAACAAATATATATTTTTGATTATTAAGTTACATATATAATCAATAAATATATTTTAATTAAAAATAAGTTGATAAAGTTCTACTTTCTATACGCATTTTTTAATTTTGAACCCCCCTTTATAAAGGGAAATGGTCAGATCTAAAGAAAAAGTATGCTAAATGAAAGAGGTTAAATAGTATTTCTCATAAAAAAATTGTATTGATCCCATCCATTTCTAAAAAAATTATAAAAATATAAAGTTAAAAATGTAAAATATAAAATCAAGAATTTTAACACAAAAATAGCATACGATAGCCATTTTCAATGTGATCCTGATTACAATATATAGTCATTTTAGTACATAATAAATATCCCCTTTTTGACATAACTCAACTTAAACCATTATTTTGTTTTATTAAAACAAATCAATTTCGTACAATTTTTATTAAATAATACTTACCTATATTTTGGATGACTTATTGCGTATACATATGGGTCGAAACAAGCTACAGATTTGCAAAATGTCGCAGGTATCATAGTAACGCCAGGAGTTAATAATGACCTTTAATTGTTAAAATACAAATTATCAATATTATAAAGCATTTAAAATTACCTTAAAAAACCCAACACAGTGGTGTCGCGACACTGTTGAGGCATGGCATAGTTAGGTCAAGTATAATGATATCTGACAGTAATTAAAATAACTATCATAAAAAACACTTTGATGCCAATCTGTAGATAGTGTTTAATTTTAAAAAATTGGTAGATTATTCCAAAAGCTACATGATCTCCTATTCCCTTATTTATATCCTGATTACAAGTTTTATAATTTATAAGTGTAATATATATTTATAATATATAGATATATAAATGAAAATGATGTTATTTAAAAAAAAAAGTATGTGGAATGAAAGAGGGATATAAATGTATTTCTCATGAAAAAATTGTATTGATCCGTACATTTTTCAATAAATTATAGCACAATATAGTTAAAAATTAAAAATACAAAATCGAACATTTTCACACAAAAATAACATTTAGTAGCCATTTTTACCGTGAAGGCAAAATAAAGTCCAAAATTTTTTTTTCTCTGTAATAATGTTTATTACATTATCTTAAGATATATATAAAAGTGTCAGAGTTTCCGAAACACTTTCAAAAGTAAATTTTTTGTGAAGAAGTTGTCATTTAGAATCCCCCCTGTGGGCAAGAAAAGGGTTAAATTTATAAAAAAAAATCTGCAAAATGATGGGTAAATACCTCATGTATCTATAAAAAAAAATTATATCGATTTTGTCATTTTTAAAAGAGTTATAGCAATTTTAAGTAAAAAAAATCGAAAATTTACGATTTTTAAATTTGTTATTTTTTTGGAGATTTCCCCCATTTACGGGGAACGAGTGAAATTTTTTCAATTTTTGAGGGTAATGTCTTCGACTAGATACGATTTGTGATCTTTTGACGAATCGTTGAAAGAAATCGGTTCGGTGATAGCTGAGTAAAAGTGGTAACAGACAAAAAAAAAAAACACATCATAGTAAAATTAATACCTTCTTAACTTCGCGTCGAAGATAAAAAAAGTTAACATTATAAGAGAAATTCTAATCTATTTAACAAAAATCGTAATAGTACAAATAAAATTACTAGAAAATCCGTTTTTTTAAATAAAAATTATATGAAACGAAGTTTTTAACATTTTTATACCTTGGCGGTAGTAAAGGTGCGGCCGAGAAATAATTATAAATATTGTCATATCTGCTTTTTACCTCTAGTCTATATTTTATAACCGTAATAACTTCCGAAAAAATGGACCCAATCTTACATATTATTACTTAAAATTTACCAAAATTACTAAATAGGTACCTTCCTTATAATTCTCTCAGTATAAATAATTTAACTCCTTGCACATAACTGCGTATGCAGCTTTTTCTATACGATAAAACCAGAAATAAGTACAATAAAATATGTATATACATTTAAAAAAATAAATATAATCTTATTAGATTTTTTAACAAAATATTGACAATATAGACAATACATGATTTTGCTATTAGTTTGCATCTTATTGTTTAAACATTTGAAAAATAATTTTAAGTATACTATTGACTTCATGGAAATAAATAATCGTTAGCTTTTGATTATGTTTTTTTATATCAGAAGCCATAGTGAAATTAAAATCCAATAAAAAAATATACGTGTATAATTACACAAAAATATGTGTATAAAAGAAGCCATAGAAATTATTAGAATAATTGGATTAATGATCTCTGAAATAGATTAGGAATATAAACTTATTTTTTAAGTACTAATTTTTGTTTAAATTTAAAATGTACTATGAACAATTTTTCATTATTATTAAATTTAAAGCCTAGTCATATCTTTTATCATATATTTTAATTAATATAAACATGCCTATAAATTAATTTAATTATAAATGCTAGAAATATTTAGTCATTATTACTTAATCAACATAATTTAATTTTGAATTAAAATTTAAAAAAAAATTCATCGGTTTATCAAAATAATTAACCATTATAATTGTTAAAAAATATGAAAAATAAATAAATAATAAAAAAATAAATGAAAAGATAAAATAAAAAATTGTATTAATGGGTTTTAATCATATTTGAACGAATTTTATTAATAAAAATTTATAGTCAACATTCAAAATTATACAATAGAATTATGAATTAATCTATCAAATTTTACTTATTTACTTATTTCAAAATGGAGTTTAGTAACTATTTGAAGCAATATATACGTAGTTAAAAGATATTTTAGTACTTTCATAATGCTAATTTTTTTTATTTAAATAATAATAATTAATCCTTTGATTTTAGTAAAATAATTTGAAAAATGATCTTTTAAAGTTAAGAAATATTGTAAAGAGTACATTTTAAACTGAAAAATCCAATTATACAATAGTATAGTATAATACTTATACTTATATTAGTACTATAATAGTATAATACCAGATAGTAGAAGTTTATTTACAGTACAATGAAATACAAAAATATATTAGTCTAAAATATAAATCTGTGAAAATTTTGAAAAGGTGATATGTCACTTTTAACAATTTTTTAGGATAAAAATAGATTCTAAGTTTCAATGTTGTACATTTTTATATAAATTGCTATTTTTGAAGTATTAAAAACAAAGTTTCCCACTAAATTTTACTTGTAATTTTTTGGCACATAATAGAAAATATTTTCTTATATACAAATTATAAAATATTTCAAACCCGCATTTTTCTGACATTAGTTTTTGTATGGGAGCCACAAAAATATAAAATAGTTTTCTCTAATTAAAAAAATGAAAAATCAGTTCTACTAAATTATCAAACAAAAAAAATATGTTGTTTAAATATTTCTTTACTTATTAGCTTTAATTTTTTATTTATTTTCTGAATTATCAAATTTGATTTTTAAAATTCAGTTTTAAGTTGAAATTTAAAGGTTTCAAGAGTAAATTAATCTAAATTTCAAAATGTTTTTAATTTTAAACTTATTTAATTACTCGTACAATAGTACGTTAAAAAAAAATCATTTAGCATTTTCATTAATAAATTAGTATTTTTGTATAATTTATTAAAATATAAAAATATGTAATTTCGTATAATAATCACTGAACACGATATCTCCACTTCTATTGAAACAATTAAAATACATCAAAAGACCATAAAACGTATCTAGATGAAGCTATTGGCACCATAATTTTGAAAAAATTCCCCTTAAAAGAGAAATGACCCAAAATGTTACAGTTGTCATGAAATAGTACTGTTGATATTTTTCACTTAATAATAAAAAAACTTCATGAAAACTGAACAGATACTGCGAAACATTTATTGTTAATACTGAAATATTTGCTCTGCTTTTTTTAAAAATCCAACCATTAACAAGGAACTGTGGGAGCTTTAAAAAATATATCCAATTGTTTTTTTCATTTTATGATAATGTTTTAAAAAATCTACCTTTTCTAAATAGTAACGGGTCTTTATGTTGTCATTGTTTGCAACAATTTACCTATTCTTACTTACTGAACACCTTGTATATTGTTTCAAATGAATGCTTGTGTAAAATAATATACAGGGTGTTCAGTAAGTAAAGAAACAAGGGACCTATTTTTGAATTGTCTGTTCGACAACCTATACGTCCGTTGAATGGATTCTATTGTTTAATTAGGTTTTGGGTCAAAATTTTATTGTTCAATGAACATTTACGTTCAACGATTGTTTGCAATTTAATGTAATAATATAAATAAATATTTTGAATTTTAAATTTATACGACTAGTTTTTTAATATTAAAATATTTATTTTTAATATATTACTTTTTAATAACAATAATTTATTATTAACACATACATTTATAATTACTTAATTTAATTCACTTGATGTGAATTTAGTTTAAGTAATTTTTATTTGTAAATTTGAAACATTTTTTTAAAACTTGTTTATGTTTTGCCTAACAACATAATTAATTGTAATAATATTTATTATAATAAATTAATATTATCTATAAAAATGTCTATTAATTTTTTTATGCCCCTAAGTTAATCAGGGATCTAATAAAAAAAGTAGGCTAAGGTCCCCCTATTTCTGAGTATACCTACTTCTACGAATAATTCATATATTTCAAATAGAAATTCAATACCAATTTGCTTCTGTAATATCGGGGAAAAAATAATCTGTTGCAATGACCATAAATTGTTTTTATGGTAGTTATCAAATACATTTTCCACGCAGGTCGTTCAACAATGTATGATTGTATACTTAATGGAATATAATAGTGTGTCTATTAATAGTCATAAATGACTTCTGTATACAAAACAGTAGAATAACAATAGAAATTTAGTTCAGAAACGCTTAACTTTAACACATTGAAATAGATAGACGGTTATTTAAATAAAAAAATTATAAGCACAGAATTTTTTGTACATTTTCTATCATACTATCATGGGAAAAATAAGGATGTAGATTAAAATGTATAATACTGGTCACATTAGTTGCTGACAAAACTCTGGTATTAAGTCGTGCCTACCGCCGTAAGTGAATGGATGGATGACTCCACACGTGCGATTTTACATTGCTAAAAAATACAACGTGTTCCCTTTCAGAAAGCAACGGGAAATCACTACACTTAATAATTTCCCAGGATATACCAATCCTCCAATTGGTGCGTTTTGATTCAGGTAGGTTAATCAACCTAACGGTTGTAAAAAGAAATCATAATATGATTTCCAATACTCTATATTATTTATAAATATCTAATAAAACCTTATATATTTTTATAATCTTCATTTTTTTTTTTAAGTGATTACCAAATAAATGCATAAATTAACATATTTTAACGTTAATAATAAATTAAACATTTTTCCAGTCCCGCTCGAGATCGTTGCAACCAATTTTCCTCTTAAAGAAATTGGGAGAAAATATATTTAAGAAAATGTTCACTGTCCTTTTATAAGAAAAATAATATAACTTCTCCATATTTTTTTCTTGCAAAATATATCCCTTAACTCCCTCTAAACTTCACACGCCTTGGCACTGTTATATCATGTACAATTAATAAGTATGGTTTTTTTAAGCACTTGAAATGTATAATCAAGCAATTATGCAATTTTGCGGTTTACCTCTGGCTTGTGTAAATGTTTTGGGATTATCATTTGATAGGCTACAATGTTTAATCCGAGTTTCCCCTTAGGGTAATACCTATACATGCAGTACACGATGTTATATATAAAAGTCGGTTGAATTAAAAATTACGTGTGTTGTTACCAATATGCAGTAGTGTTTTAGTTGTTGAAAACCTCAAGCTTATCACCGCCGAGAAAATGAATTTCAACTTAACCGTATCTAGACCTTTGCCACTTATACTTAAGTATGCATTTTATAATTTAAATGAAAATAAAGTGATCTTCGTGTGTTTTATGCAATTATTTATTGAATGCCGTGTACACACATTTTAGTTTTGCGGAAAATGAAGGAGAAATAAGATCTTTGGGATGGATGCTTCCTCCTGAAGAACTTGTCAATGTACCAGAACATTGGTTATCTTATGAGGACATTAATCCTTATTATCACATTGGATTAGTTTTTATTTGGATTTTTTTAATGGTGTTTTCGTTAATCGGAAATGGTTTAGTCCTATGGATATTTTGTTTGTAAGTATATTGTAAAAACTCATTTTTAGCAACATTTCATTACAAAGTCAGATAATTTTTTTTTTCTAACTTTTAGTTATGCAATTTTTAAATACTACTAAAGTATATCAAAGTTACTCCTTAAAACATGGAATATCAAACCTTATAATACAATGTATTAAAAAATAGAATTAGGATGGGCAAAATAACGGGAACATTTTTTCGGTACTATAGCCAACCAAATTATGTATTGAAAACTAGACGAGTTTTCATTTTAACTCAATCTAGAGAACCTCAAAAGTTGTTATTTTCAATTATTCCACTACTAAAAATTGTTAAAAAATTTTATTTTCATTGATTATATTTATAATTAGTCAAATAGCATATAATTCATATTACATACTGTAAACGCAATCTCGAACTTTTATTAAGTGGGGCTTAGAATTTTTATATTAAACAGATCTGTAAGGAGCTATACACCTCACCTCATATACATGTTCAAAGATAACTATAGTTAAATTAAACGCTTACCATATTAATCTTATTATATTATATTTCGTTTCTTACTTATATGATGAATAATAAAATATTAGATAATATTAAAAAAGATATTTATTTTATTTTTTCAATTACTAGAATTATGAATAAAATAACCACTGAAAAGGCATAAAAAACTTAAAGTATTCCAAATATTTCATGGGCTTAGCTTCACTAAATCATTGTAATTTGTGCATATGTTTCATACTATACATTTATAAGTATCTTTTTATCGTTCTTTAGCAATCGTATTGATTACTGTTTAATAAATAAAGTAAATAATCTTATGTGTATTTTTTAGTCACATTTCTCTCTCAAAAAAACCTGGTTGTATAAACACTCCTCAGTATAATACAAATGTCACGTATATTTACGCGATGTGAATTTCATACAAGAAAAAATAAATGTCTAAATTAAGTGGCTGATATTAATCTAAAGTTTACCAAAAATCATTTAAATTTTGCAGAGCCAAACCTTTGAGAACGCCATCTAATATATTTGTAGTTAATTTGGCGTTCTGTGACTTTTTGAGTTTAACAAAAGCGCCAACATTCATATACGATACGCTATTTGTGGGTTACATGGAACATACAAGTTGTCAATTCTTTGCTGTACTTGGTGCTATTAGTGGTATTGGAGCATCAACAACGAACGCCATAATTGCCTATGACAGATACAAGTAATAGTATAGATTTAAATGCAATTTTACCTGATTTAATTTAAATCGTTTAAATTAAATATTTTTAATTCATTGAGTATGCGCCAAATAATTAAAACCGTTAAAGTGTTTTACTCCAAAAACTACCAAAATAGTATTTTAAAAATGTATCATTTAATGAGGTTTTTTTAATTTTGAGAAGTTTCCAGATTGGTCTTTTTGTTTAAATCATTTCACACAATCAACTGTGTTGGGGAAATCGAGTTATTTAATATGCCTTGGTGTAATTATGAGGGGATAATATAGACAAGGTGAAGACATTTTTGTAGAGGACCGTTTTGATATTTCTAAAAATATTTAATTTTATATATAGGATATGTTTAGTACAGAATGCCTTTAGCAAAGATCTAGTAGACTATTTGTTATAAACATTGTTGATTATATTATATCGTGTGACAGCTGATCTCCAGCGTCTTACTTTACTCACCCCTTTGCTCACTCAGCACAGCAAATCGAAGACCTCCGTGTCAATTGTCATCCGTGTACACTTCATTGTCGTAAGTCAGTCAGTTTTATTATGTGTTATTCTTTTCTGTGCAAGTGCCTTCGCTTGAATGATAAATTGTTCGACCATTGTACGCCGTTATTCTTTAATTTGTTTATTGCACCCTCGTGCTCAAATTTCTCGTGTCCTTACACGCCTCTAGTGATTGGGCGTGTAAGGACATATCTTATGTAAGACTACATATCTTCATTGGCGTAGTCGCTTTTCCGCCGTCTGTTCTCATCTGTCATTACGTGCCTGGATCTACACTGTGACTCGTCATACTCAGATGTTCGACACCATTACCACAAGATCTCATACAGTCCACTCATCACTATCAACAACTTCCATCTGCTGTACAGCTGAGTTTCATATTATTTTTAATGTTATTTATTGTTTGTTTTAATTGAGCTTAACTATTATGTTTTATGTCGCTTCGCCGGTCATTAATATTTAAGGGCCCCCCGTTACCCCTTAAATTTAAGATACTCTCTCAAGAATTTCTAATATATGTGGTTGTTTGTTATTTAATTATTGTCTACTCTCGTTACTTATTGGATGTACCGTTAGCCGTCATCCCCTAGGTGACTCACTCCCCCATCAATAACAGCGATTTAAGCAGACTTAAGGTAAAACGACATTCTAGTGCGGTGCACAACTAGCCGTCCTACGGTCTAGCTGCCTCGTACAAAATAGGATATATAGGGGAAATAACTCTTCCCAATACAAAACCCTAGTTATGCTGCTGTTAATATGATAAACATTTAATTGTGGTTAATTTTCGTAGTACCATAGCCAGACCATTTGATGGACGTATGAGTTACGGTAAAGCAATTTTCTTGGTATTTTGCACTTGGTGTTATATGGTTCCTTGGATTTATTTTCCATTAACAGGGAAGTGGAGTCGCTATGTACCAGGTAACTAAATCATAAACCATATATTTACGAGGACACTTGTGTTTCATCACAATTGCTATTAATCTATAACTTGTATCTCTAATATAAGAATATATTTGAATTTTCGATGATTAATTTAGGTGAATCATGTTTTCAATAATTTTAGTATCAATATATATTTTACAGAAATTCGTGTTGTTTTGTTACACAAATTAAATTGATATCAATAAATAAACACATTCCATATTGGCACCTTATATATTCTATTTAGCGAAAAACAATAGGCGCACATGCGGAAGTGCAAAGAGTATTTAGTACCATCAAATAATAAACATGGTTATAGAAAACGGAACCAGTATAACGATTATAATTGTGTGATGGAAAACATCTGCTTTACATTAGTGATAATTTTCTTCTAGAAATGGAATGTAATAGAAAAAATTCCGAAAACAAAATAAAATAAATGCAAATTAATGATAATAATTTATAATCAATAATTTAAAATATAGTCGATACGTTATTGCTGTTTCAGAGGGATATTTAACGACTTGTACATTTGATTACTTAACCCCAACAGACGAAATAAAAAAATTCGTCGCAACTATATTTTTTTTTTGTTATTGTGTACCAATGACTTTCATAGTATATTATTATTCACAAATCGTCACTCATGTGTTCAGGCACGAAAAAGCTCTTAGGGACCAGGTAATTTATACATTTTTTAAGTACATAACTTATAGATGTGATTAGATCGTTTTTGAACTTAAATGGTTATTTTATATGATTTTACACTAAAACATAATTTAATTATAATTCAATAAGTTAAATTTAATAAAAAAATTGACCAGGCTAAAAAGATGAACGTCGATTCCCTACGAAGTAATCAAGATGCCAACGCTCAATCAGCAGAAGTCAGGATAGCAAAAGCTGCCATAACCATATGTTTCTTGTTTGTAGCAGCATGGACTCCTTATGCAACTGTTGCATTGATTGGTGCGTTTGGAGACAGGTAAAAATATTTAAAATAGAAATTAACCTATACATTAAAAAAATGATTTGATTGGTCTTCTAGTTATTAAAAAACAAATTTTGATAGGATTAAAAGGAATATTTTTTATCTCCAGAGACTTTAGAACGACCTAAAGTAGATACTACACATTAGTAGTATCATATTGGGACGTCCTTAATATTTACCAAAATAATATTAATACAATTTCATCACTTTTTTTCGCAAGCACTAAGCCCAGGGTCCAAGCCCTGCTGAGCATTTTTTAAGGACGGCTCTGAGTATACACCTAGGCTGGCCATAGATTTATATATTTTTATCTTCGACGCGAAGTTAAGAAGGTATTAATTTTAATATGATGTGTTTATTTTTTGTCTGTTACCACTTTTACTCAGCTATCACCGAACCGATTTCTTTCAACGATTCGTCAAAAGATCACAAATCGTATCTAGTCGAAGACATTACCCTCAAAAATTGAAAAAATTTCACTCGTTCCCCGTAAATGGGGGAAATCTCCAAAAAAATAACAAATTTAAAAATCGTAAATTTTCGATTTTTTTTACTTAAAATTGCTATAACTCTTTTAAAAATGACAAAATCGATATAATTTTTTTTTATAGATACATGAGGTATTTACCCATCATTTTGCAGATTTTTTTTTATAAATTTAACCCTTTCCTTGCCCACAGGGGGGATTCTAAATGACAACTTCTTCACAAAAAATTTACTTTTGAAAGTGTTTCGGAAACTCTGACACTTTTATATATATCTTAAATTTAAGATAATGTAATATACATTATTACAGAGAAAAAAAAATTTTGGACTTTATTTTGCCTTCACGGTAAAAATGGCTACTAAATGTTATTTTTGTGTGAAAATGTTCGATTTTGTATTTTTAATTTTTAACTATATTGTGCTATAATTTATTGAAAAATGTACGGATCAATACAATTTTTTCATGAGAAATACATTTATATCCCTCTTTCATTCCACATACTTTTTTTTTTAAATAACATCATTTTCATTTATATATCTATATATTATAAATATATATTACACTTATAAATTATAAAACTTGTAATCAGGATATAAATAAGGGAATAGGAGATCATGTAGCTTTTGGAATAATCTACCAATTTTTTAAAATTAAACACTATCTACAGATTGGCATCAAAGTGTTTTTTATGATAGTTATTTTAATTACTGTCAGATATCATTATACTTGACCTAACTATGCCATGCCTCAACAGTGTCGCGACACCACTGTGTTGGGTTTTTTAAGGTAATTTTAAATGCTTTATAATATTGATAATTTGTATTTTAACAATTAAAGGTCATTATTAACTCCTGGCGTTACTATGATACCTGCGACATTTTGCAAATCTGTAGCTTGTTTCGACCCATATGTATACGCAATAAGTCATCCAAAATATAGGTAAGTATTATTTAATAAAAATTGTACGAAATTGATTTGTTTTAATAAAACAAAATAATGGTTTAAGTTGAGTTATGTCAAAAAGGGGATATTTATTATGTACTAAAATGACTATAAAATACAAAAAATTAGACGAAAGAAAGAAGATAAAAACTTAATGATTACAATAATTACGTTAAAGGGTATTAAAGTTTCATTTTGTATAACCCACCCATCTCATGCGCACCATTGATAAGATATCTAATTTGTATATCTAATAAATCTAGTATTAATATTCAGTTATTATGCAAGTCTAAATTGAAGACGAAATGGATCATATAGATTGTAATATATAATACTGATTATCATAATATGATTTCCAGTACTCTATAATATTTTTGTATCTATATCTAATCAAAACCCATACATTTTCATAATCTCCAATTTTCTTTTTAATTGATGAGCAAATAAATACATCAATTAATATATTTTAAAGCTTATAATAAATTTAATATTTATATTCTATAATTTATAAGATGGTTCAGAGTGTTGTACGGTTGACAATAAAGTAGAGCTGAGAATGAGTGTAGCAGAGATAAGAATGCTTAGAAATGAATAAATAAGGGGTGGTATAGGTGAGCGTCAATTGTGAATAAGCTGAGAGAAAAAAGACTTAGATGGTTTGATCATGTTATGAGCAGAAAAGAATCGGAAGCTGTAAGAACAGTTATAGAAATGAATATTGAAAGAAGAAAAGGTAGAGGAAGACTAAAAAAGAGATAGAAGGATGTGTTTTGAACGCGTTATAAGGACGACTGATGTAAAAGATTGTATCAAGTGGAAGTTTAAGATAAGGGTGGCCGACCCCATGTAGGAAAATAAAAAGAAGATCCTATAACTTATATGATGTCCATAATATGAATATCTTATAAATAAAAAAATGTTAAGCAAACTTATGTTATCCTCCTTAATGTACACTTATCATCGTAAGCGTTACTGTTTTATTATTATTATTGATAATATAATTTTTTTGTTGGTGACAGAATGGAGCTAGCGAAACGCATCCCATGTCTCGGAATTAAAGAAGCGCCACCAGTTGTATCCGAAACTCAATCTGCTACTACAACTACCGCTTAAGAAATGCATATCTAAGTTAAAATAATATATTTTATATTGTGTTAAAATGATGCAAAATAATTCTCAATATCAACTCTCATCAGTTTCATTATTCATTCATCATTTTTCAAACAGTTATAAGTTACAATTATTCTCAATGTAAATTATTCTAAATGTAAACATTTTAACAAAATATTGTATTTAAAGCTTTAGCAAAATTTATCTACTTATTTATGTGATAGATATCTAAGATTAATATAAAAAGTTAACTGTAATTATTAAAATTTGAGTTGATGTTAAACTTTCTTTGTTAAAAGTTTGACTTATTATAAATTTATATTCTACACAACCTAAATAATTGATGCTTGCAAATCAGCTAATTATTTCTAGAAATTTAACAAATTTCTGTGACTAAATAAAAAGGTATAATGACCCTCCATCCAAATTAAATATATTAAATGTCGTAATAATAATTTTACTTTTCAGTAACTTGCAAAAGTTGATTTGAGACCATTAAAATTTTAAATTGAGGTCGTCATTAAGTGTTACTTATATTAGTGACTATTGACATTTTTAACTTCTTTTTTTTTTTTTTTTTTTTAAATATGATAAATGATTCAAGATTCAAGGTCATGATTTATATGGTCAGTACGTTATCATGTTTAATAAGTAATAATAACACAAAAACTTAATGAACATTTTCCTACTTATTTCAATCTTAAAATTTGCATTATTTGTGTAATTTAATGTTAAAGGATGAAAGGCTATTTGTAGACTCTAAGCAGTAATTGTAAAAATTCTCGTATGTTGTCAGTTTTATATAAAACTGATAAAAAACATCACAAAAACATTTTGTATTTTATAATACCTCTAGATACAGTGCGAGTGTAAATAATTGACACCCGTTAATAAAAATTCATAATTATTCTTTTATATATTGGACAGATCCTTTATCAATCTGTCTTGAACAGACAAACTTTATCAATTGAAAAAAAATCAACTGCGTTATTCTTTTAAAAAATCCGACTTATTTAATAAAATATGTATACATAATAAGGAATTTTAAAATCGTTTTCTTAATAATTATTAAAATGATTGAAATGGATGAATTTATTGGAAATTCATATTTTTAATGCATCTGACAGGTAATAGTTTTGTTTAACTTAGTGTAAACTTGAATTGGTTATTATACTGGACCATTCAATTTATAAAAGTGGTTCATCAACTAATACTGAATTTACAATATTTAACAAAGAATAGTTTATTTATAAATTATTTTTTCTAATTACCAACAAAAATACATAATATTTATGTTTATATTAAATAAAAAAAAAAAAAAAAAATAAAACCAACTAAATAGTTATATTTACAATACAAAATTTGAAATAATCAGAACCAGTGAAGAAATAGTAATATGATTGGTTCAAAAGAAAAAATTGTTCTGTTTCATTAACAATAAAAAAATAGGTAATCACAACTAATTTAAAGTGATAACAATCTATTTTAAATTAGAGCTATTAATAAGTAGAAAAAAGTACACAGAACTTCATTTTTAATTTAAAAATACAAAATTTATGTCATTTTCTCTAAGTAAAATAAATTTAGATTATTGAGGTTCAAAATTAAATTTTATACACAACAAGTTAAATAAAATATGGTAATTTAACTATTTAAATTTAAAAGGTTAAAAATAAAAACGATTTAAGTGATCATCAATCAAAAAATAAATTAAGTATCATAAAATATACACTATATTTTATGTACGTAATCATGCATTTTTATACATAACTTTAATTCAATTCAATTTTACATAAAAGTACAACAATAATAGTTTCAACTTTATTTCTAATATCCTGAACATAGCATAATAAATATAAATTTGTGATTCAATTATATAACTGTATAGGTAACTTATCATTTTAAAAAAATAATTTATTTCCACTACCTAAAAACATTCTATAGCAATGCCAATAAAAAAAAACTGCAACAATTATTAAATTCAACTAGTGATTGATTATGTTTAAACATTTCAGTATGGGAGAAATGTGTTTAGAAACATTTTTTTATCTTAAAAATGTAAAAAGTTTATATAAATAACAACTAAATATTAAATGTGTCTTAAGATTATCTGATGGAAATGTGACATAAAAATCACAGATCTTTATTTATTGGCTTTACAATAAAATCTTACAATAATATTATAGGAAGATACAATTAACACAATGATAATTGATACTCCTTCCTGTAATTAAAATCCCCAACTTAAAAATACTATCAACACACTCTATGCACCCATATATTCAACCAATAAATGGTATAGATTAACTGTTTAATTAACTATTAAAATATACATAGACTAGAGTGGCTCAATTTTGTTTTTAAATATTTTTTTATAACATTGTCAATAATTTCAAATGAGTTGTTACAATTTAAATAAAAATATATAATTATGAAGTTAATCTAATGTGACAGAATATTACTGATAAGGCGCCATTCTTGTAAAAAATTCAATTGGCCATGGATAATATATTTTGATTTTAAAAAAATAATTTTCATTAAATATTAAAATAAGTTTCAGACATAGTCAGATGATGACCAATATATTAGTCATTGATACAAAGTGAGCTTATGATAAGAAATTTGTAAAAATATCACGTTGAAAGCATGCAGTTAAGGTCAAAAACTGGTATGATTTTCTCTTATAAATATTAAGAATTAAAAATAAACTCTATTCAGTCTTAGTTTGGCAATAAAGTTCTTTTAACGTTTTTAATTCTTCAATTAGTGCTTTATTTTGGTTTTCAAGTACAGATACTCTATTTTCTAAGCATTTAATATACTCTTTCTTTTTTCTTCGACATTCTCTAGCAGCTTCTCTAAAAAGTCATTATTTTTTTTAAGAATTTCTTTTTCTTATTTATTTTACTTTAATTAAAAATATATTTTAACTAACCTATTTTTTAATAGTCTCATCTCACGTTTTTTTACTTGATCTTCAGGTACTAACGAGTTTGTATTTAATGTAGAACCTCCTTGAGTAACAACTAATGAATAAAGTTTTTAAAAATAAAAATTTAATTTATAACATAAACAATTAATAAATACCAGGTACAAAAAATTGACCATCTTGACTTGCATACTGTAATATAGTTCCACCAGCTGATGTTGCATTTGACATTGTTAAAGTTGGCATATTATGCATTTCTCCTTGACTATTTATTTGGATTGCAGCAGGGGGTAGATTAACTAAAAAATAATTGTTAATTTAGAAAAGACTGCTGGAAGTTTAGGATAAGGGTGGCCGATTCCATGTAGTATGGATAAAAGCGAGGAAAAGGAAAAAGAAGAAGAAAAGAGTACTATATTTATCAAATTTACTTAATAAACAACAACACCTATATCTTCTTGACAATTTAATTATTTTAAATAAAACTAACACTATTATTCAAAAATTATTGTCTGAAATAAAATTAGGCTATTTTATAGCTCTACTTTATAAGTAACAACTAAGAGATTAAATTAATAAAAAAAAGTAATCAAGATGACAATATTATATTATATTGTGTTAAATTGATAAATAAAAAGATATCACTGAGAAAAAAATTTGTTTAATACATCAGAACCTATTTCATATGTACTCATTAATATTTTTAAGGAAAGAGATTTGATTAAAATATCACTACCTTTTTCAAATAGAAAAATATTTTTCTTTACCACATAATTTATATTGCCAAAAGAAGAGATATCTGCATTCCTCGATCTACTTTCAGAAATTGGCAAAATTTTAAACTAACATTAATTAGCATATCAGCTGAAAAATTATGAAAATACTACTCAGGAAATTTCTTACCTTCAAATGAGATTCTTGATGAAGATTGAATAACAGATAAAGAATTTATGATGTTAATATTGTATTGATATTTTCAAATTTTTCAATAACAGTAATTTTTTTTTTAAATACTTCTTTTTTCTTAAATTAAGTTTATTGAATATCACACACTGAGATAATTTTATATTAGAATGTCTGTTGCTTTATAACAGATATTAGTATTTACTATTATATGGGGGTTAAGAACATAGTATAAAGGACAATATGGTGTCCCCTAAATTACCCCAGTAAATTTAAGCATTCTAAATAAAATTTACCTGTTTGATAATGTGCAGAAAGAGAATTTGAAGATAATTCACTATCAAGATTTGAATCACAATCTGATCCAGATGATTCAACTTTACCACCTAATAAAATAACAAGTTATACATTTTTTAGATCTTTAAGATGTATAATATCAAATAACCTGCAATATCATTCAAGATCTTGCGATATGATGGTCTCCTCGTTAAAGCATCCAATCGACTTCTTTTAGGACTATCTTCATTTGCAGATAAACTTTCATCACTACCAGCTTCCACGACCTTAAAAAGTAAAATTTATGTTAATATTACCTTGGATACAAATATATACAACTTATAATATTTTACACAGGGTTCTTAAATAAACATGTTCAAAAAAAACTTGTTTAAAACATTTTTATATGTCCCAAATGTAAATTTTGGCGTTTTAAACAATATGTGTTTATAACGTAACAACCCTGATTTTACTGATAAATAAAAATAATATATTTTAACTACATGTTAATAATTGTATAAGTAAAATGTAGTTTTCCACAATAAGCTACTTTGCAGTATTATATATGAGTAACACAAATATAATATCTTAAGTAGCTACCAAAAAATGTAAAAATATACCACTACCTGAAGAGTTTGAAGATTTCCTTGAGTTGTTTGAATAACCGAATTTGGTTTACTTAATAATATAACATTGCCTTTTGTAAGCATTGTTCCAGGGGTCGCAGTTTGTATAACAGATTGTTGGTTTGCTTGAATAACTGAATGCACCTAGAATGCACCTTTTTTAGAAAATTTATTTCTAAATATATAAGATTGAATACATACTGATGTAACAACAATAGGACTGCCTTGCGATACTAGTGTATCGACTGAACCATTGGTTCCATTTTCTTCAACCATGCCGTCCATAACAAGATGGGGCGATTCTGTACCCTGTTCATTCATATAATTTTTATAAAAGAACATTTTAATTTATCTTAAAGAAAAAATAAGAAAACTGTATATTTCAACTGTCAATGATTATGGGAACAATAATAAAAAACAAAATTATATCAATTAAGATGAATGATGCAGTTGTATGATTTACACAATTCTGTAATATCATACTTTTTATTGAATTTTTTTTACTAGTAGATTATAACTTCATCAAGATCTATGAGGTATGAGATAAAAATGAAAAACTAACGTTCAAGGTCCCGCCAAAAAATATTTGAATACTAATTTACGGAGGTCTAATTTTCATACTACGCTTCATTTAGTCTCTAGTATTTCGATAATAAAAACATCTGAAACTATGCTAACCTGCCCTTAATATCATACGTATGTCACACATCATCAAAATAATGTATTTCATTATTTCGCGGGTAAATAAAATGTAATTTATGTATGAATGAAAATGAAAACATTGTAATAAAAAACAGCAGTTGATATGGGAGTGACAATAGAAAATATTTTATGATAGGCCAAAGTCTATTTGAAGTTTAAAATGATTGTACATAGTTAAATAATAAGTCAACATATAATTCGAAATGCCGTATTAACAAATGACATGTATACATACGTACATGTTACATGTACGTATAATATTAACACGGACAGCGGGACAACATATAGACAATGACAAGGTAGTGCGCCGTAAGCCCGTTACTTACCAGCAGTCACAATGTTACGTCGTCTGAGTGCTTGGTCCTGCGATTCGACTGGCTCGAACGGTGTGCTACGTAGAAGCCACGTCAAATGACGTCTGATGGCAGAGTGGGGTTCGGGCACGAAATTCTGCGTCATCAAAACAGGAACACCCGCCACTACGCTCCGTCAAACCTAAGCTAACCCCGCGATTCTCCACTCCTATTGTCATGGACGACGCTATTGAGGGGCGCGCACACCGGCAATGATCGACCCGCAACTAGCGATATACGACCTCCACCCCTCTCAACCGTCACATCGCTAGTCACAACCGCTTCCTACCGGCAGACGGCAACCTCCATTCCACCTCTTTTTAACAGTCCACAGTATATATAATTGTCACCACTGTTCACGTAATGATTTAATGTTGTAATAATAATTATAATAAAATTATTATTTACTACGATTACAATTACTATAGTCGAAGTAAAAAATATTGAATTTTGTTTAATGAATTTAACACAAGGTCTAAACTAAACCTCGCAAATATTTTTTCAGGCCAAATTGATAATGATACCACTAGTTGTTTAGTTAACATCAAAACGAATAATAAACTTTTAACACTAAAAAATTTCCCATAATCTCATAATTATTAATTACTGTGAAATAACTAGTGCTGAAAATGGTTTGTGGGATACTGGTCACTAATTTAATGGAGGGATGCGATTTCGTCGTGTAGATGATAATTATGTGTTGAAAATAGATTTATTTTTCTTTTTTTTTGTACGTTATATAATTTTATAGTTAAACTAGGGAAACATTTAAGAGTTCATCCAGAACACCACCATACGCACGACTAAGGGGACTTATTTTTTTCCCCGAAAAAGTTTAAAAAATTGTATTATTGTTTTAAAATTGTATTTTTAGCGTGAAGATGATAATTGATTTAGTACTCCGAGATATTTCTTTCCAATTGTGCTAATTGCCTATTTTTGGTATAACGCAATGGAGTAACCAGGGACTAGGGAGCCAGCCCTTCCAATATAAATAATAATATAAAATGAAATGATAAGGAAAAAAAATTTAAGGTCCAACATATGTAATTTTGTAAATTTTTTACTATGGGCCCTTCCATTATGAAATTCTGGGTACGCCACTGGTACATGGATATTTTGACGTCAAAAATTTGTATTTAAATTATATTTGAAAAAGAGAAAAAAACCTATTTTTTATTGCATTAAAAAAAAATTATTATAATTTATTTAATAAAAATAATTAATTAAATAATTTAATAATAATTTATTTAAATAAATAATTAATTTAATTATAATTATAATTTCTATTTATTTATGTAGAATTTTATACATCATGCAATTAATTAAAGGGAAAATAAATGTTTGATCGCAATGACGCTTAAATAAACCGTATGAAAATGAAAATAATTTTAAAATAAAAAGTAATTTTCAAACCTACAGTTCAAGTTACATACATCCAATCATTCTTTAATACCGTTTTGTTTATACCATTTAAGTATTTAAACCGCATTGTTAGTATTCAACAACTACTAATTCTATTATAATAATAAATTAAACTTTTTTTTTAATTATTTTTATGTAAGGTTCGGTCGATTTCAGCTCTGGAAATACATGGAATTATTTAATAAGATCATGACAATGAAGAAAGATTATTGTGTAAGTTGGAACAAAATTGGTATAAGTCAATTTTTGAGTGTATTAGAGGTAGAACAAAAAATAAATATTTTAAATTTAACATTTTCTTTTACTAATAAAATTATGTTATGAAGTAATGGCATTGAATTTTCAAAATCTACTTTTATATCAATCTTTACGAAATTATAATACTTCAAATGATTACAATTTACATACACCATTTCTGTTTAAACTCCTGCAAGTATTTCAATACTTTATGAACTAACTAAAAAAGAAAATAAATGAATTATCTTTAGATATATATTGATTGTTTCGGATACTCATATTAAAATATTTAAAAATAATTTCATTGCAAAAAAACAAAATTTTGTTACATTTTATTGATTATAAAAAGAATAATATGAAACAAGAGAATGGTTGAAGTATAGTTGGATAAGATGTGAGTAAAAAGTCTCAACATTTAATTTTTATAACTAACGTGTGTAAATTTTCTTATAATTTTTTTATCATAACTTCTTCTCTTAGCACAGTAAGAAATAAAATAATACTAATAATCTTAATAATAAATGTACTATTATAAAATTTACAATGTTAAATTAGTACATATTTATAAGCTTTTCTTGAAAAATTAAAGTGTTTGGCAAACTTAATTTTTACTGCTAGCAAACCTAATCAAAAAACTAAAAAATATTATAGAAAAACAATTAAATATAGCTTATTCATAATATATGGTGTAAATGATAAAAATTAACTGTTTTTCCATGTTTGCCAAACTGTGCTTATGTAGTTTGAAGTCTAGGGATAACTCTTTTTTATGGGGGAGGGGAATGAGAGAGACTAAATAAATTAAAAAACAAATTTTTTTCACATGGTCATTTTACCACGGACTATATACTAAAATTTAAAACTCAAGACTATAATAACTGAATCAAAACTTGCCTTCTTGTTTAGAACCATCGCTAGGTTTTGTGAGTCCCTAGCAAATCTACACCAGTAACAGAAAACTTCATTTAATAAATAAAAATATGGCCTAAGTTCGGAGCTAGCCAGTCTTTTGTTTTATTTTTTTATTGATAAAATATTTAATCTGTACAATTTAAAGCACATAGGTATAAAGAAGTTACCTATTTGTGACACTTAAATTTGGTTATTTTATTAATATATTACGATACCATTGTCTCTTTACAATCGTCGTTTAGAATTGCCAGCTACAGTTAATTAATAAGAGTACTTTTCATGATTTTGTAATCTGTTATGGGAACGTTTGTAAAATTGGACAGCGTCTATGGTTCAGTTTTTAAATACACTTTGTTATCAGAGTTATAGTTTTGAATATAAAAAGGGTGTTTGTACGTTTCTTTAGAGCAATGTCTAAAATTGTTAAATTTTGTTAATATAATATTTCTTTGTTGTACATCATAATTGTAGATAATACGTTCAAATTTGTCTAATAAATGCTTTAAAAATTAAGATATTCATATTCATGTTAATATGTCGATTGTTTATTAAAAACGGTTGGTTGGGTCCTTGCTAGATAGAAATCCTTAAAAAAAAATCATTCGAAAATTCGGAAAAATTTTGTTTTAATATTTCAAATGAGAATACTTTTTTAATTCAAATAGAAATTCATCTGAATTGAAATAACTTTTAATGATATTTAGTTTCAATTTTTTCAATAATAATTAAAAAATTATGATTATTAATATTTACCCCGGTAGTATACAGATATGAAATGTGCTCAATCTGTAAACCTACGCAATTAGACTAAAATAGACACCACTGCGAACAAAACAAGCCACTAGGTTAAGATATAATATTTACATTATGATGTAACTACATCACATTTGATGATGTTCATCACATGTTCATTGGATCACTCATTTTCTTATAAAAATTCCAAACCACATAATGAATACTCTATGGGCTGCGGAGAAGATAGAAAAGTGTTGATTACTTTTATATAATGGTAAAAAAATATAGGATTTTCAGATATTTATGTAGAAATAACGTCGTTTGTACTGGAACAATGTGTGTCTCAGTTTTCTAAGAGAAAATGAGAAGGTATTTTGAATATTTAGCATCCTCAAGCAGATTTAACTATTATTTTTAAATTTTGTAAAGAAGAAAAATTCCTTATAATATTTTATAAATAATTACTGTTTTTTTATGTATACTTATACATGTTTTTAATATTACAAGTGTGTAATGACATCGGTGTAGTATGTGTATTTTACATTAAATTTAGTAATATTTTTTGGTTTTAACAATTATAGTTGAAATACTAAAGTATTAATGTATGTATACAAAGTTATATATAATTTTTCATTTATAAATAGATAAAAATAAGGCTGGGTACACCACTTGGTGCAGAGCGAGAAATTTTTTGGTCTTTGAAATTTAAGCACCCGCAAATTCAAAATAACATATGCGATGAGGTCTGATTATTGATGAAATGTTGATATCCTAAGAAATTTGTTACCTGTGGTGATAAATTCAACCCTATTTATTCATTAAATTTTTAAGTATAATACATGCAAAAAAACAATTGTTATGGTGTTTATAAATTGTTATGTATTTTTTTATCTAAACCATTACCAGTTATGTATAACTCCCTTCAGCTATGTGATATAGTCATAAGAACATGAATGACGTCATCCGATGACGTAACGCACGACTTATAATCTACAAAATTATTTTATTTTTATTTCAAATATTTTTCATATTGTTGCTATTTACTGAGTATTTTGATTTATTTACTTTTTTCTAATTTTAATTAAATTTTAAAATAGAACACTTATTTATTTTAAATTAATAATAATAGAATGTACATGAACTAAAATTCTGTTAAAATTTTGAAAATGTTGTATCACGCCCAGGAAGTTTTAATAAGAAAATATATGTTTAATATTTATACTAAATACTTATTTAGTCATCTACTTAATATAAATGGTCAAAATTTTAAAAACTTTATGCTACGAATTGTACGCTAGTATTACATGTTTTATAAAAACATAATTTTTTGCTGAAAATTGAATATATTAAGTTGTTTTTATTAGTTCTTGAAAAAAAAAGAAGTTTGTTGTGCACCTTTAAAAGAAACGACTTATCTCGTTCGAGTATTAGATTATTATATATTTATTAATTGTCAACATTTTTTAACTAGAATGAAAAATTTAGTAATCTTATTAGTAATATTAAATTAACTAAAAAAAAATTCGAAATACTATTGTCTTCAATATTAGCTTCGATGCGAAGCTGAGAAGGTATTAATTTTACTATGATGTGTTTATTTATTTTTTTTGTGTGTCTGTTACCACTTAATCTCAGCTCTTACTGGACCGATTTTTATTAACAAAACGTCAAAAGATCACAAATTGTATCTAATCGAAGACATTACCCTCAAAAATTGAAAAAAATTCCGTCGTTTCTTGTAAATGGGTGAAATCCCCAAAAGAATTACAATTTTAAAAAATCAGTAATTTTTGCCTTTTTTTCCTTAAAACTGCCATAACTTTTTTAAAAATGAACAAATCAATATAATTTTCTTTTATAGATATGTTAAGTATGTATCTATCATTTGATATATTTTTGTGAACATTTGACCCTTTACCAGCCCACAAGGAGGGTTTCAAAATGACAACTTATTCACAAAAAATTAACTTTTTCAACTTAATTTTTGAAAATGATCTGGAAATACTAACACTTTTATATATATCTTAAATTAAAACTTATGAAATATACTTTATTATGGAAAAAAAAAATTCGGTGAAAATGGCTACCGAATGCTATTTTTGTGTGAAAATTCTCGATTTTATATTTTACATATTTAACTTTATATTTATATAACTTTTTGAAAAATGTATGGATAAATACAATTTATTCATAAGAAGTACTATTTATATACATCTTTCATTCGGCACATTTTTGTTTTAAATTGGACCATTTCCCTATATACAGAGGGGGGGATCAAAACTGAAAAATGCATATAGAAAGTAGAACTTTTTCTATTTAATTTTTTAATTACAAAATCGATATAATTTTTTTTTTATAGACACATGAGGTATTTACTCATAATTTTGTATATTTTATTGATAAATTTGACCTTTTACCTGCCCACAGAAGGGGATTCAAAGTGACAACTTTTTCACAAAAAAATTACTTTTACAGAAAGTGTTTCGTAAATACTGACACTTTTATATATATATTAAATTAAAGCTGATGTGATATACTTAAATATAAAAAAGAAAAGTTCCAGACTTTAGTAAGCTTTCATGGTGAAAATTAACATCAAAGTTAATAAAAAAATAAGATTTTTGTAAAAAATTCTTTTTTATATTTTTAATTTTATAATGCTATAACTTTTTGAAAAATATATGCATCGATACATTTTTTTTATGATAAATACTATTTCCTTACCTCTTTCATTCGACATATTTACATTTATACATAACACTTATAAATCATAAAACTTGTAATCAGAATATAAATAAGAAAATAGGAGATTATGCAGCTATTGGAATAATCCATTAATTTTATAAAATTAAACATAATCTATAGATTTGCATCGAAACGTTTTTTATTATAGTGATTTTAATCATTGTCAGATATCATCTATACTGGACCCAACTATGCCACGTCCCCCCCACTTCGATGGTTTTTTTTTTACTGTAAAAATCAAATGGTTACGATTTATCGGCATATCCAAATGGTACAAATAGGTAAGATAGGGCAATTTTAAGAGTTTAAAGGAGTATTCATGTTTTAGAAGTTTATATTTGGGAAGTGTGTCTTTAAAGACCTTTTTTTTTTTAGTTATTGTATTTTCTGTAAAATTTTGTTTGGTATATACTTATCACTGTAAAAATTTAAGTCGTTTTTTCTTAATGAAATTTTTATTAGGTCCTTGAGGGATATCAAAAGATATAACACGAAATATAAAACAATTTTCTATCAATAATTTAGACTCTTACATTATAGTTAATGTAAATACTAGTATTTTAATTACTATAAAATTGTGGAATTTTAGAATAGTTGTAATAAAAAGCATTCATTCTTTTATTTCACGTCTTAACTTATTTTTGACAAAAATGTTCTTACCCCCTTTGTGCCTATATCATCAAAATAATATATTACACATGGCCATTTTAATACTTAATTTTATTTGTCATTTAAAAAATTGATGAAGTATCAAATTTTGAAATTTTAAGTAGTTTAAAAAACTTCCAGCACTATATTGCTCAAAGTTATGTTTCTTATTTCTTATAAAAGATAAATTATTTTCAAATTAACCAAAATTTAGATATTGACATATGTAAGTATATGCAGACACTAGACAATATGAATGGAAATTTTTTCTTTAACTGAATTGTTTTTTTCAATTTAAAAAAAAATGGGAATTATATTAGATACAAATCTTATACTAACCAAATTTAATAATTAGATTAGTATTTTTTTTTTTAACGATTTGCATAGAAGTGTTACTAAAAATAAGAATTATACAATCATTAAAAATATGTTCAATAAAAAATTAGAATAAAATACCGATTATATTTTTTTTTTATTTATTACTACTTCAATATTATTTTCAGTGTTTTACAATTTGGTAAAATTAATTTAAATATATATTTAAGTCAAAGTAAAAACACGGACATAAAAAAAATATTATACACCATAATGTCATTATGAAAAGTTAATAACCCCTTGCAAAATGAAATAGACCTATTTTTATATCATTTTTCAATGTTTAACAAAACTATTTGTTTTGTTTAATAGAATCAGTCACACACAAAAGATTTTTTGTTATTCTTAAATATAATATCTTATTTTATTACAAATTAAAGTATTCATTACTTTAATAAAATAAATATATAACAATATGTTTTCACATGTTATTCTACACAATTAGAATATTTTCCAAAAAGTAGTAATTTTTTTTTATGTTTAAAAATAAAAAAGTTAGTATGTTCTTTTTATACATTATTTATCCATCTCTAGAGCAGCAAACTGTTCTTCATCCATTTCTGTAACCATTAAATTACCATCCGGTAATTGTAAAACAACTCTACGTGGTCCTCCTAAAATTTATTTATAAAATTAATTTATTTATTCAAAACAAAATACACGTGTTATAGTAACGTTTGGAATGTATTTGTTATTCTTGAAAAATCATTAACAAGTTGTAATGGGCCAGGAGGATCTTTTTGCATAGCTAAAACATTATTTTACCATAAATAAAATAAATGTTCTTTAATAATGATAAGCAGAGGCAGACAACTAATCTTTAAAATTAAAATTTCTTAATTCTCAAAAAAGAATTTAACAAATAATTTTTTGTTTTTATTACTTTAACTACTAATTTTTTGTAAATTTAGAAATAATTGTACGATTTAAAATATAGGGTAAAACTTGTAGTAGCAATAATTAACTTAAACAATGAAACTACCTCCAGGTGCGGGTTCACCAGCATCAACTATTTGTGCAACCAATTGATCTTGGTCTTCTTGAACTAATTGAGGTTCTTGTGCGAAATTTTCACTAGGTTGTATTACTACTTGACCACCCTGTTCTGTAGCTGATACAGGGACATATTGGCCAGTTTCATTATCTTTCATGTACATATTTCCTGCTTCATCAGTTACTAAATTTCCTAGGTCAATCTTATCAACATAATAATAATAAAAATAATTTATTAGAAAAATAATTTTGAATAATAAATTTAATTTTTTTTATGAAATTAGTGTAATACAGTGAAACAATTTCATTAATACGGACTACATTATATACAATTATATTAAAGGGCATTACCAAACAGTACCCAAGCGTCTCAAGTTATTAGATGTTTCGACAATCTATATAACCCTGTCTTGTCATAATTGGATATAGATTAATGAGGTTTCACTATATATTTAAAATTTGTTTTAAATAATTACCTGTTGTGGCATTATTTGTCCAACAGAATTACCATAGTCATCTAAAGCAATCATTCCTTCTTGATTTGTATTGCCAGCCTGAATCATACCATTTCCATCTTCTGTAAGAAATACACATTGTTGTCCATCTGACTCTCCATTGCTAGTCAATAAAACAGTTCCACCACTAGCAGCCAACTGTGCAGCAGAAACCTAAACATAAAAATAAAAAAATATTAATAAATTTTTACCTATAATCATCGTAATTCTTAAATTTTGAGTTTATTGTAATCATTATAAAATATGTAGGTTAATTTTAGTTCAAATGGTATGTGTTTAGCCTGATTATAAACATTGTTCCTGAAGTATATAGAGTGGAACAGATCTAACTGACAACTCATATAACTTATGATCTACATAACATTTTATCCTTTTTTTTTAATCAATTGTTACAATATAGAACTATATTTAAAATAACATAAAACATATTTTAAATATAGTTCTATATTGTAAAAATTTATTAAAAAAAAAAGGATAAAATGTTATGTAGATCATAAGTTATATGAGATGTCAGTTAGATCTGTTCAACCTGTATATACTAATTTTTCAGAATATTTTGTGCTTTTTGACTTAAATATTTTTAACACTTTTTAGTTTTAGTTAATATTTTTAATATATCTTTAGTATAAAATATCTCTCTAAAATTTTTAAAGAAAACAAAAATTGTAAAATATTAAAAACTAAACAAGTTATAAAGCTTAATCAAATAGCAGGTCTACTAAAATTCAATTCATTTTCTACTAACTTGATACAGCATGCCATCATCACCAGTAATAGTGATCATACTATCGGCATCATCAGCTGATAAAATCAAGCGTCCAGATTCATCAGTAAGAATGGCTTGCTGTCCAGAAAACTGTTGATTTGCTTGTGTTTCTTGCTGCTTTTGTTGTATTTTTCGTGCTGGAACATTTAATGAGCTATGTGTTTTTGAAACACCAGAACTTACATGAAGTGATTTGTTACTAAAAATATAAAATAATTACGATAAGTAATATAACTGCTATAGCTTTTATAGTATGATTTATATTTATATATATAATATACTAACGCATTATTAGGTTTTGTATTTGTTTTTTTCATACGTAAACCTGAATTGGAAGCAGCTGGAATGTCTTTGTAATTAACAAAACTTTGTCTTGTTGGGGTGCGATTTATATTAACCTTGTCAGGTTCACTTGTAGATAGAATAGAGCTTTGGTTTCCAATAGTGTTAGAATTGGGTTCCAACTAAAACAGAAATGTTATTTTTAATTGTTGGATAAAGAATAAAAAAGTTACAGTAGGGATCCAGTAAATTAATGTCAAGGTATTTTTTAGATTAGTATTATTTTTAAATTGATATCTGATAGTGATTAAAATTACAGCCCAAACTCTTTGAAACAAAATTAAATAAAACTTAACATATCTATCAAAATTTTTATGGTTTTTGACTTTAAAGGTTTACTCATAGATTTTTTTTTAAATTATATAGTACATAAAATAAGCTATAATTTTATTTAATTTTGAATTGTGTAGATCTTTTGTTGCTATACAAAACATTTCAAAATCTGCCATTTTTACAGAAAATTATGTTTTTTGGTCTTAATGGTATGATTCTCGAGCTTTCACAATATTTTGGTTAATTATTGAATTTTCAAAAAAAA